TTTATTAAGGTCACTGGACACACAGTCAACAAAGAAATAATAAAATTTACAAATCAATAGAAAATATAATAGCATCAAAACCCACCAAATACGTAAGAATAAATCTAAGAAAAAAAAGAACTGCACCTGAATAAGCTAAAACATTATCAAGAAAAATTAATGAATACCTAAACAAACGGAGGAATATATTTTTTTCAAGAATTGTAACACATTATTATAACGATGTTAACTGACCTCAAATTGATCTGTAACTCCAATCTAAATCTTAGCAGGGTTGTTTTAAAGACAGAAATTGACAAGGGATTTCTAAAACTGAAAAGTAAACGCAAAGGGCGAAGAATGGCAAAAACAATCTTGAAGAATAAAAACAAAGTGGAAATATTTACACTACCAGATACCAAGACTGTCAAGCTACAGTTTAAAAACTGTGACATTGAAGAAAGATAGGTCAATGGAACAAAGTAGAGAATCTAGAAACAGACCAAACCGTATATGATCGCCAGGTATCTGACAAAGGTGTCACTGCAATGTAGTGTGTGTGTGTGTGGGGGGGGGGTGGTGGTGGTGGTGGTGGTGGTTTTGGATATGTTGGATATTAATATGGGAAAAAGTAAACCTTGACTCCTACCACACATCAAACACAAATATCAACTCAAAATGAATTATCGCAGGAAAGGTAAAATGCTAAAGTTATAAGATGATAATGAAAAAATATGTTCATGACCTAAGGCAAGCATTTCTTAAATAGGAAACAAAAAGCATTAACCATAATGAAAATAGATAAATTAGAAGTCATTAAAATTAGGATGTTCTTTTCATTAAGAGAGTGAAAAGGCAAGTGACAGGCTGGGAGAACATTTTTGCAATCCATATATCTAACAGATGGCTAGTATCTAGACTATATAAAAAACTCCTACAAATCAATAAGGGCACACAACCCAGTAAGAACGTAAAGACGAGCAAGTACTTCACGAAAGAGGAGATCCAGATGGCCAATCAGCATCTAAAAAATTTGCTCTACATCATCAGTCATCAGGAAATTGAAAATTAAATGTCCAATGAAATATTACTACATGCTTATTAGAATGGCCATTACACACACACATGAGGTGGCAGTGAGAAGGGTTTGCAGGATATGGAGTAATTGGAACTCTCATTCATTGTTGCTAAGAGTATGAATTGGTACAACCACTTTGGAGAACTGTTTCGACAATTTTTACTAAAATAGAATATAAGTATTTCTTATGGACTAACAGCCCTAACACTAGGTACATACACTAGGTTACACAAACGGGCACACCAAAACCATATTCTAGAATGTTTATGCCCGCACTATTCATAAAAGACCCAAACTAAAAACAATGCAAAGGCCCTTCAAAAATCAACAAAATATACTTATAAAGTATTGTATGTTCATATCACAGTATACTCTACAGCAATAAAAAAAACCACCTCTGCTACATGCAAAAATATGGATGAATCTCACATATGTAATGTTGAGTGAAAGAAACAAACACATAAGTAAACATAATAAATTATTCCATTTATTAGGCAAAATGAAATGATGGTGATAGAAATTAGAATAGTTGTTACCTTTGAAGGAGCACTGAGAGGAAGCACAAAGCAGACTTTGGGGTGCTGGTTGTGTTCTGTATCTAGATCTGGGTTTAGTTATACGGGTGTGTTCACTTTGTAGAATTTATTAGGATTTCTTGACTTTACTGTTTTCTATACCTCTACAAAATGATACAAAAATTGAGCATATTTTAGTTTAAAAAAATTAGTCTGAAATTTTTACTTGTAAAAAAGTGTTGTTGACTTTGATCAAATAAAAAGGAATTCTGTAATTATTGTTTTTCTCTTTTTGTATCCAGTATCAAAAAGCTTGGAGATAATTTAATTGTCAGTTGCAGTAACTATGTTAATTTAGGTGGTTTATTTCCTTCTTTCTCCTAAATGGCTTTTGATTTTCTATTTCCAATTATTGTATGTGTTTTCAATTATACACCACCTAAAATCTTTTTGGGGAAAAATTACTGATAAAAGAATAAAATTTACTGTTTTATACGGAAAATATAGTTACCATTTTCTTTCCTTTTTTATTCAAAAAAACTAAAATTGAATAAAAACATCAGAATGGCTTATCCTATTTTCATTTTAATTAAATGTAAAACACCAATATGCCCAATAGATGGAGGCAAAACCCAAGACTAAATTTTTCTAGTGAAAAGTTATAAATTGAATTGTTACTATATTACTTTGTATTAGTTAGCAGCACATTAGTAAAAACTAGTGGATTCATTTTTACATTTTGTGTTTAATTCTATAGATTTTGAACACATCTCCAGAAGTGATTTCAGTTTTTTCTTCTGCTTAGTAACAAGGCAAATGAATAACAATAGATGTTTAAAGCTATTGTTTTTCCTCCAGAAAAGTAGATGCTATAATCACATAGGTATCACAGATTCTAACATTCCTGTTCTAAATTATTTTAAAAGCCAACAAAATCCTTCTTATAATAATTAAGCCATCTTTTCAAACTTGTTGAGTGTTGTCAAATGGACTATTTTGGGGCAATTATTTTGTTTCCTACTCTACCATTTAATGGAGAAACTTCTCCTTCCAATTACAAAGGGCTTTTTGCTTGGGACTTTAAAATTCCAGTGAATTGGTGAAATCTATATATTTTTTGGATAATTCATAGGACTCTGTAGCCTCGAGAAAGATATACCTGTAAAATTTGGTGAAGAGATCCTCCTATGTCCCTACTTGCTGTGGAAAATAACAAAAGAATGAAATTAGTCATCGCTGGGTACCTACTTTTTTTTTTTTTTAAATATATTTTTATTGATTTCAGAGAGAGGAAAGGAGAGGGAGAGAGATAGAAACATCAATGATGAGAGAGTTGTGATTGATGGGCTGCCTCCTACATGCCCTGGACTGGGGATCGAGCCTGCAACCCGAGCATGTGCCCTCACCGGGAATCCAACCGCCATCTCCTGGATCCTAGGTTGATGCTCAAGTGCTGAGCCACGTCTGGCCAGGCTGTGTACCTACTTTTAAAAATCAATTTTACTGAAGAATAAGGTACAAAAACTTAATTCCATTTAGTGTAAAAATTTAATTCCATTTAATTTAATGACTTGGGCAGTTGTGTACATCTGCACAACTACCACTACAATGAAGATATAGAACATCTCCACCACTTCCAAAAAATTCTTCCTGCCCTTTTCCAGTCCCACTTCTGTCCCTGTCACCAGACAACCACTGCTCTGCTGTCTATAAATGAATTAATTCCCCCCAAGTAGATATTCAGTTGTTCTAGCACTATTTATTTTTTATTGAAATCCTTAGAAGCTTTGACAAACATTAATTGATCATTTATATCTGGATCTATCTCTAGACTGTGTTCTATTGATCTATATATGTCTATTTACCATTACCACACTGTCTTAGAACTGTTTCACATTTAGTTTTGAAATCAGGTTGTATAAATCCCCCAACTTTTTCTTTTTAATATGTTTTTATTGATTTCAGAGAGAGGAATGGAGAGGGAGAGAGAGATAGAAGCATCAATGATGAGAGAGAAACATCAATAAGCTGCCTCCTGCACGCTCCCTACTGGGATTGAGCCTGCAACCAGGGCATGAGCCCTGAGTAGGACTTGAACAGTAACTTCCAGGCTCATGGGTCGATGCTCAACCACTGAGCCACACCAGCTGGGCTATTTTTCTTTCTAAAAATTGTTTTGGAGCTTCTAATTTAATGAAACTTTTGTTTATTTATGTTTTATGCCATAAAGTGCAATTTCATCCCAATAATGGTAATTTTAATGTCTTAAACACTACTATAAACTACATAAAAATGATACTAAAGAAAACGGAATTTTTGTTATGATTGATAGACTAACTGGTGATACATGGATATTAACATTTAAGGCCACCACAGATGAAAAGCTATGATATTTAAATGTGAGCTTTCTGGAAACTTAGTTAATGACAATGGGCGATTTACTTAACCTCCATAAGCCTAATTTCCTCATTTCTACCATGTCATAGGTACCTTATCCACATTATAGCTCATTTATTCCTTATAAAACTGTAATATGATAGATATTATCTCCATTTTACATATGAGAAAACAGTTTATTTGCTCAACGTCACACACAAGTGGCAATCAGTATTTGAAGACAGATTTGTCTGGCTCAGAGTTTAATGTTCCTCCTCGCTATTCTGCTCTGCCTCCAAGGAATGTTTCAGGTGTCTGGACCTGCCCAGTTCAATAGAGGAGCCACTAGTCGAATGGGGCTACTCTGAACTGAGATGTGCCATAAAACACACGCTGTATCTTGAAGACTTACACTACCAAAAAAGGAAATATATCTCAATAATTTTAAAATATGTATCTCATGTTGAAATACTTTGGATTTATTAGATCAAACAATACGTATTATTAAAATTAATTTCACCTGTTTTTTGTTTAATGTAGCTACTAGAAAAAACTAAAAATTACATATGTGGCTCGCATTATGTTTCTTTGTGATAGCTCTGATTTAGATGATTTCTACTTAGGTTCCCAGAAGTAAAATTTTATGGTCTCAAAGGAAAATTTTCAGGAATTTAAATAATCAATATTTACTCAGTCCTTCTTAACTTACTGTCTTCTAAACTTAATAAACAAAGATCTTAAATTCCCTTGAGAGAAAGCACTTGCTATTGCACAGGTTGAATGGTCATCTGATCATCCTACAGAGAGGCTAGAGCACACGGCATAATCAGTGACTGTGATCATATCTTGTACCTCCCAGTTCCATCAATTCCTAGAGCCATTTTGGGCAGGGTGAAGGTGGTGTATGTGTTGGTCAGGAATCAAGAATTGATACAGAGGTTTCACTTTGATATGGAACAGAAGTCTCAGAGCAAGTGCTACTTCTCTGGGCCTCTTTTGATCATGACATTCTAGCATAGTGGTGGATATGGTAATAGATGCCAGTGAATAGAAATAAATGGATGCTTTCACATCCATAAAATAAAGACTCTAAATCCTGTCACTGTGGTAGGTTGTGAGCCAGAAAGCTCTCCAGAGAATTGTATTTAAGATTAACCCCCCGCCCCCCACAAAGCCAATTAATTTCACTGTGGGCCTATGAATTATTATGTGTCCCTTAAAGAATGACAAAAAGTCACCTATTTAGGCATATATGTTAATCACAATTAAGGCCTTAGTTATGAAAATCATAGATTTTTTTTTTTTTTTAAAGTCTTTGGATAAACTGTACAAGATAAGAGAAAATTTTGTTTGCAAATTGAGCTATTTAGCCTTCTTAAAATAAACTAGAAAGTACAGGTAAGTAATATAGTCAAAAGTATGATTAGTGAATGCCTTCTGTAGACAGAGTACAGTAACTACTAAGAAAAGTATAAAGGAAGCAAGCTATATAAACTCTGCCCTCAGGGATGGAAGGGATTTCCAAGCACTAGTTGAGTGTTGAGGCCTGAAAACCAGGGAGTAGTTACATCTCAACTCAACTCCTGATCAGAAAAAAGGCGGTTCTTTGGCCCTATATCTAAGTGGAAAGCTTGTATCATGGATGCAACTCATTCCCAATTAAGAAAAGAGCCATGTGCCCTTTGCCTTCCAGATAACTAGGCAGACTCATTTAGCAGTTTACTGGGATAGAAGGGGTCCTGTTGTACTGTCAGTCTGTTAGCTGTACCTGTCATATGGTATCACTAAATTGGGCCAGATTAAACAGAAAGCAACCCTCACTTTCTGCCAAAACCCTTGTATCATAGATACTGGTACTCTGAAACCCAGGCATCTCCTTGCCAGATATCACAAAATAAGTGAAGTTCGCCCAACTCTTGAGATCCTACTTTTCAGAGATCATCCAATTTTGTTCTAATCTAAAAACTGCCACACATATTTGATTAAATAACATTATTACTTAGTCTAGGGTGATCAGGTCACAAAGGGCTGGCTCAAAATAGACAGACCCTGGCAGATGTTTAACTGAAATAGAGGGCCACTAGTTTAGTGCCCTCTGTCTAGTGTTAGTTCTGGTGTGGAGAAGAGAAAAGCCTTCGGGAATAGGCCCAGAAGGGCTAGGTAGTCAATGGGAAACCGCTGCTAGAGAGACTGAGAGAGTAGATACTAAATAAATGTGTGCTGGATGAATAAATACGCTGTGGATTCAAGGAAGCTATATACAGTTAAAAAAAGAACTCATGCCTTTTTTGTTTGAAACTTTTATTTTTTTGAATATATTTATGCTTTTGTCACTATCCACATTATGGCTTTTTTAAAAAGCCTGAGCCACTGTGTGGTTCTAGCCCCGATATAATAATCATCCCCTCACTCTTAGAATTCCTTTTCATTTGTCACTTGGCCTTTGAATGGTTTGTATAAAATGAGGACCCTGGAAAATCAGTACTTCCTGTGAACTTGACAGGCTACATGAGCTGTGCCCATATCAGCAGGATTAGGCAGGTAAAACCAGTGGGGTAGCAGATATATTATCTCGCAGACCAAGCTGTAGTTGTGGGCATGTCTAAAAGTCATGCTGACTCACAGTAGAATAAGGAGTATGTCGGTGGATCAGGGTGAGGTAGGACTGTGTGACTTGTGGTACAGGAGGCAGTATATAACTTCCAGGGGTTAAACACCCAGCTAACTACTTTCCTGAAAATGGTCAAGGTTCTCAAGACAAAGATCTAGGTTCTTGATTTTATTAACTTATAAAGATTCAAGTCACTATAATATGCTAGTTCTTATGCTTTAAAGTGAAAGCAAATGGCTATAGTAACAAAGACATGACAGCTGAACTGCACCAGTACATTTAAGACTTTTAAATTGAATTCTGAGTTACCTTACCTTATAAAAATACATGTCAATATACTAAATACTCAACAAAAATTCAGGATAGGGATATTTAAAAATACAGTTTTCTTGGATCAGCACCAAAAATATCACTAGTTTTCTGTACAACCTGTGACAAAATTTTAAGTATAAGTAAAATTTTTTTGATAAAAATCACACATTCTACAGAAATCATTATAGATATAACCAAACAACTTTCAAATACATTTTGACATCAAGGTCAGGCAATTCACTTGGAAGGATATAATGAGTACCACTGAATTTTTGTAGTAAGACTTTTGATGTCAACTTTGTATTATGGGGATTTCTGACATCTCACAGAAAGGAGGCACTGGTACTAAATGATTAGAACCATTAAGGCTGAGGTGAAGAATTTGTGCAGCCTTCCACAATTTCAAAGAGGTAGTGATAGATACTTGTCCTCCTGGCAATATCAAATGCAGTTTCTTCCAAGTTGTTTTTCAGACCTGGTTTGATGTAGCGGTTCATCAGGAGGAGTTCTAGGGTATCTTTGCTATCTCTGTTTCCAGCTGCAAGGTGTAAGGGGGTCAAGAGGCCTTTTGTTTGGGCATTGATATCTGCATCATGCTGAAGTAAGAAAGAAGCTACTCTAGTATTGTTCCACTTACAAGCACTGTGCAGGGGTGTCCAGCCGTCCACAGTCACTGCATGAACATCTGCTCCTTGCGCAATGAGCTCGCGGACAACCTCCAAGTGTCCACTGTAGGCTGCTCGATGAAGAGGGGTGTACTCATCCTCGTCTCTAGTGTTCACATCAGTGGCCTTTTCAGAAAGGAGTCTCCGCACTGTAGTCAGCTGAAAAGAAAAAAGAGAACTTCGAAAAACCTAACTCAAAACTAAACAGTAAATTGAGGAAATTAAACTTGAGTGATGTTAGATTTAATTAAGTTAAATAAAAACTTGTTAGCAGATGACTTTAAATTAAAATAAGATTTCATTTTTGGAGGAGAGAGGGCAATTGATTTAAGAATGAACAAGTTTGTGTTAACCATAAACTGCTGATTCTAAGAATGTGATTCTCTGAATATCAAACTATATATTTACTCCTGGTCTAATTAAGGCTCCTTGCACCAAAGCTTTAGTCCTAGATAAATAATACAGGCTATAATTGTATTTAATGTTTTATATGTCATCTGTAAAGAAAACAAAATAACAGACTGATTTTTCTGTAGGAGTAGCACACCAACGTACATAATGTATAAAACTTTAAAAAAATAAACTTATCAAAATGTAATGGTAACAAAGACATCTAGAGATTAAAGAGCTCAATTCCTTCTAAAACAACTTTAGACATATTTTTAGGAAGTGACTTTCAGTTTGGTCAATGGCCTTGTGGTGGGCCATTGGGTTAGACAGTTAAAAAAAATGCAAGACATTTTAGTTATTAGTTTACTAAAAGACACCAGGGAACTTAGTAAAATGAGGCAGAAATGGCTACATGGGAATAGGCTTTTGACGTTAAGTAGAATCATCCTATTTGGATGATCCTGGGCAAATTAATACTCCTGAATCTCAATTTCTTAATCTAAAAAGGTAATAATATTACCTATCTTTAGAGACATACAAGGATTTAATCAAATAATATAATAATGCATATGGTATATATATGTGGTATCCAATAAATGTTAGTTCCCATCCTTCCTTTCCTAAATAAGTTTCTAGGATGATCTTAATGCCTTAATAGAAATAATTAAAAAACACAGATGATTGCTTGTGATCTTTATAGTGAATTATCCTTAAAGCCCCCCAATACCTAATTTGACTCTGTAGCTTGCCATGTGCTTTCATGTACACTGCCTCATTTGATCCCCAAACCCTGTTATAAAAGAGTTAGGTATTAAAGTGGTCAGTTTTTTTTCTTCAAAATTTTTAAAGAGGAAAGGAGAGGGAGAGAGAGTACACTGATGTGAGTGCGGAACACAGACAGGCAGCCTCCTGCATGCCCCACACTGGGGATCAAGACTGAAACCTGGGCATGTGTCTTGAGCAGGAATCGAACTGGCAACCCAATGGTGCACGGGAGGACACCCAACCAACTGGGCCATACTGGCAGGGCACGGCCATTTTTACTGATAAGAAAATAGAGGTTCAAAATCAGTAGGATTTGCCCAGTTACAAACCAAACAGTTTCAAGGACAGGTCTTCTGGCTCCAAATTTAATACTTTTCCTATTATATTATGGTTTCTTCCTTAATTGTTTTTTGTTTTTTTACCCGATTTTTTTCAGCAGCCCAAAGAAGCAATTTGCTTGGATCTTTTTCCATTTTTTTTTCTTGCAATTGATACCACTCTTCAGTCTTTTCATCTTGTTCCTCATCTTCATCAGAATTCCCTACCCAGAGGCTTTGGGTACCAGTGGGGATAAGGTGTCCATGTGTTTCCAACAACTCGAGTTGGTTAAAGTGTTCAGAAAAGTCCAAGGAATTCTCTGGGTCTGGTTGTCCATCATCGTTTACTTTCTCTTTTTCCATTTTTACTACTATTCTAGACACACAGCACTTCAAATACCAGAGTATAATCTTTTTAGAGGCGAATTATGTCTGCTTTATTTTATTCATCAAGATCTGAAAACACAAACAAAATATTATTAGCAAAACATTAATCGAGGCTTTATCAAAACAGCATAGATAAGTCTTACAAACACATACAAATAAACCCTATCTAAACTCTTTGGTGTTTATTGATACGCTTTATATTCACTATATGTTAGAGCTGATAGATTTCAGTTATTTGTATCTTTAATAACCTAATACTTCTTTTTTGTTGTTTTCTTCTACTAAGTGGTTATAATTGTCCAGGCATATCTCCTTTTATTGCACTTTACTTTATTATGCTTCACAGATGTTTTCTTTCTTTTTAAAACAAATTGAAGGCCAGACACTCCACCAGCAAAAATATTACCATTCACTTCATTGTGGTGGTCTGAAACCCAAACTACAATATCTCCGAGGTATGCCTGTATTTATTTTGAACCTACTGGTTTAGAAACTATTGTATGATGCTAAGAATTATAAATGAATGAAGCTTTTAAATTATAACTAATAAAGACAGGCACATTTTTTTAAGTCCTCACCTGAGGATATGCATATTGATTTTAGAGGGGGGAGGAGAGAGAGAGAGAGAGACGTTACTGTGAGAGAGAACATCGATTGGCTGTCTTCCCTATGAGCCCCAATGGAGTATCTGAGACACACTGGCTGGGGCAAAACAGACACATTTTTATAAACTAGACACATAGATACTATAGAACAGAAACAAACACTTCTAAACAAAAAACTACTTAAAAGAATCAGGGATTCTTAGAGATAGAATAGCCCCCAAAGGAGAGGTGTCCCAATCTCTCATCAGTGCAGATATGTTTATCATGACATCTGTAATAGTTTTCCTATTTCTACTTTAATAATTTCTGGCTTGGGAAAATTCACTGCTTAAGAAATAGTCCTATTCATGATAGATAACTATAGTTCTTAATTAGCTTCTTGTTTTGAAACTGAATTTTGGCTGTCATTCACTCCTTCATTTAACAAATATGAATAGAATGCCTGGTATGCGCCTGTCTCTGGGTACAGGGATTCAATAATGAACAAGATTCACATCTTAACCTCAAGGAGCTTACTATCAAGTTGGAGTGACTGGCAAAGCAGCAGGATAAGTGCTACGATAGGACCATATCCAGATACAGTGAGTATTCTGGAGTGCCATAATTAACCCAGTCCTAAGGGATTAGAGAAGAAAGTGATGCTTATTTTGCTAGGCTGCCATATTAATTTATAAACCAGTATCAGCTTAAAGAGTTACACAGCATATTAAACTTGAACCAATCAAAGAAAATGAGAATAGATTTTTAAAAATACCACTTCTACTTATCAGAGTGATCACTATGTAAGGTATATAAATGTCAAATCACTATGTTGTGCACCTGAAACTAATATAAATACTATTGTATGTCAGTAGTAATAGAAAAATACATTTTAAAAAATACCATTTTTCAGCCTCTCAACTATATTTGTTTGAATTCTTCTCTTTCAAGGCCCTTCTCAGATGTTTCTTTCATTAAGTCTTTCTTAATCTTCTAAATTAGATCTCTCTCAAATTCTTTTTGTTTTGTGCTATATATTCTTATTTCACTACTAATTTTGTTGTTTTGGCCTCTTAAAAAATAATAAATTTAAGTATAAGGACTATTTTTAACTTATATTTATGTTCCACTTACATATAGCAGTCATTAAGAAATATTGTAGAATTAAATATAGTTAAAGCCCTGTCACTTGATTTTGACTGGAATGAATTCTGAGAAGTTAGAGAGTTAGTCATGCCTCTAAGATACTTATTTCTTTCTACTTAATTTTACAAGTTTAATAATATGCTCTCCTAATGCAGTATTAGATTTTATTACTAGTGCCAAGAGCATTAAACTTGAGTTTAAATCTATCACTCACGACTAGTACCTTCTCTGGGTCCGTTACTTCATTGTAACGTAAGGATTTTACTAAAGAATTTCCAAGGCCTGCCAGCTAGTCAGCCTATTCAGACACTATCAGAATTGTTTTTTTAAAAAACTTTTCACTTTTTTCTTTATTCTCAAACTATTCCCTGAACTTTGCAACACAAAAATGACCATACACCAATTCATGAAACAATAAGTACCAGTAAATAACATAAAATTCATTTGTTAATAGTATCCACTTATAGCACAGATCTCATGGGCCACCTCTCGTTTTTACAAAGGCTCTCTTTTTATAAATTTTGAATTTCCTGCTCCAGAGACAATAAGTTACACATAGCATTTTCTTGGGGCATTTAATTTTAAAAAGTTAAACCCAGGTACATCTCCCTGGTTCAGGATTTTAAAAATCAATCAGGATTCTTACTTAATGATACTGCACTGGGAAGAAATAGGGTGTTTCTTAACCTAAAGGGAACATTCACAAACAACTCAGTGACAGACGGGGCACAAACCCCAATTTACAGGTGAAGGAGCTGAGGTTCGAATAGATTAAAACAATTTGCCCTGGATTAAGGAACTTCAACAGAACTGAAAGCCCAGATTTTCTAAATCAAAAGTTTCACATTCTTTTTTGACTGCACTAGATTCTACTGCTGTCAGCACAAAGCAATACAGAGGTGCTAAATCGGAGGTCAAGGGCTACGAGGAAGCAGGGAAAGGCTTGTGAAACTGACCATCTGAATGCTCCATCTTTCCCGGCCCTCCCGCACCAGTGGTCACTTCTCAGGCCCCGGGAGTCGCTCCTGCGGCCTGCGGAACCCTCAAGAGTAGAGTACCGGCTCCAGCCCCACCGAGAACCTGCGACGCGGCCGGGGTCGGCAGGTGACCCGCTCCTACGGGCCCAGGAGTTCTCCGGTGGCACAAAGCGACCACAAAGGGTTGGCACGGAGCAAGGAAGAGGTACCCACCTCGGAGACGGGATTTCGCCGCCGCAAACCTCGCTTCCGGGGTTCGTCCCGTGGGCTGCTTGGGATTGGCTCCTATACGGGGGCGGGACCTCGCTGCTGCTTTCCCAGCTCCCTCCCGGCACTCGACAGCCAATGAGAGCCGAAGAGGACTTGACGCGCCTACGTCATCAATGAGGTATAGGGCGCGCACGCAAGAGAGGGCTGGCTTTCTCTCGCGCCTTATTCAGGTTCTCAGAGGCTAGCTGAGGCCGGACTGTTGCTTTTCTGCTCGAGAACGTCACGCCTTCTTCCCGGGTAAGAGACAGCCTCGGTCCCCAGGGTGTGGCTTTGGAAGTCTTAAGTGTGGGGTAATTTAGGAGTCGTACCCGCCTCCTCTATGTGCAGGGTCCCAGGCGGAAGCCCAGAGTGGACTGACCTTCTGAGTAGGGCCGAGTGGGCTGGGGAGGAGTCGTGGCTGGGGCGGGGGGCGGGGAGTGTCCGCGTTGTGCTTCTCAGTGTCCGGTGGTGGGGGCGTGTTGAGGCCTGAATCCCCAGGCGCTGGGAATGTGGACGTGGGGGAGGTTGGCGGTGGCAGCTGCTCGTCTCCCAAAACGCTGGCCTTTTGTTCCGCCGGCGGCTGAAGGTGTTTCTCCGCAGACCACGTGTTTCTGTTTATTTCCACTGGTTTCCAAACTAGTCCGTTCTTCTAAAAATTCGGTGTCTGAGCAGTAAGTACGGGGTCGCCTCCGTGCTCCAGAGTAGCCTGTGCAAGCACCTTGAACATTTCTGCACGTTCAGAGTTGTTCGTGTGCTAAACCAGGACCACTTTTTGCTCATTATTTTAACGGTTTCCCCTAGGGCGTGGAAAAGGGACCTAGGAGATAAGCTTAATCATGATGGTGAAACCAGAATGGCACTAGAGATGTGCTATTTTCTATTCCTAGCAGCTCTTTAAAAGCACAGTAGGTGCTTGGATGAAAATGAGACTTTCACTATTGCCAGTCTGCTTTTTTAAAATGCGTGTTTTATAATAATATGATTTTGTTTTTAGAATTTGGAATCGAGTGAGTTTTCTGACTTTTGAGCGCAGGACCAGGGATTACTTGGAGAGAAAACTGGTCCTAGAGGAACTGGACTGACCAGAGAAATGAGTCCTGCAGATGCCCTGTAAGCACCTGTCTTCTGGAATCTTTTTTGTTGCTTTGGGTTTCTAAAGACCATCAACTATAATTACCCCAAAAGAAAACATATTTAATAAATTAGCAGTAATTAGCTTGACTGAACAGAAGTCATCAAAAAGAATATTTGGATTTTAAAAAATTCATACTATGTGCTTATTAACTGAAAGATGGTATGCTATGCAGTTGTAGATTGGGTCTTGCAGTATGATCATGTCGCTATATGTAAGTTTATGTTCGTACGTTTGTCAAAATATTGGAGCTATAAATCTTGAGATTTCATGATAGTCTTACTAGTCAAGGCAAGTTTGTTGAAGCAGATTTTTAGAGGAGTAAATTGCTCTAGTATTGAATAAATTGGAAATGATTTTGAGTAAAATGAAAATAAGTTAAAGGACAGGAAAAAGTTATGTGGAAAGAGCTTTAGGTTTGGAGTCTTTCACCCTGGTTTTAACTCCTTGGTTAATACTGTGTGACCTTAAGCAAGTTAGCAATTTTCTGAACTTTGCCTCAGTTTCTTCATTTGTATAATTGGAATAAAAATGCCTTTCTCAGATTAATTTTGGTGTTTAAATGAGAGAATCATATGAAAATACTTATTAAGTTACTGTGGAAGCATAAGATAGTAATATGAGCTGAAAGTATTCAAACCAACCTGTGTGTACATAGCAGTTAGAACTGTGTGCATATCATTTTTAAAGTTTCTGAAGGGAAATCTTTTCTGGAAGAGTCTCTTGCATGTAAAGATTTGAATTATATACATATATATGTGTATATATATTCATTATGGTTTAGTGAAAAATAGCCTGAATTTTAAAACTGGGTTTTAATCCTGTTTGTAACATTTAGTTGTGCGATAAATCAATTAATTTCTCTGTGTTTAGCCTTCTTATTTTTGAGAGATAGCAATAGATAACTCTACATGTGCCAGTTGAGATCCTAGTACAAAAGTATTTTAAAGAATGTTAAAAGGTACAGTAAGAGAGTATTAATAACTATTACATTGCTGCTTCACATGAAAGTAACTTTGACTACTACCAGATTTGAATGGAATTGTAAATCTGTTTTGTTTCTTGGCCAAATCTGTTAACAAGACGCTAACTTTGTATAGAGAGTAGAGGCAAACAAGCAACTTCAGGGGCCTGAATGTAAGTTACTAATTTATTAGCATAGAATCTACTTACAAAGTAAGAGGAAGGGCTTTTAAAATTAGCCAGCTAACTCTAATTTTTTCTGGAGGAGTGCAAAGTGGATAAATAGCAAGTTTAGATATGGTGTCAAATCCTCTTGGGTTTTTGCTATGGAACAGAATAGGAAAACAATAAAGCTTTCAGGTGCAGGGTACAAATGAGTGTATAAAACTGGTGGTGACAAGGTTATAAATTTTTGAAGCAGTCACAGATCTTCTAACAATTCACTACATTTATTCTGAGTTGAATTAGTGGTGGGCAGACTATGTGACAGGAAAACACTTTCAAATACTTGAAATTTTCAGACTTAGTTTAAGACTAGAAAAGTGATTTTACTCCATAGCTGCTGTTACTTGGTTTATAAATTTAGGTGTCAACTTACTTGAACATTCTTTTAATGGATTATATTGAAACATTTCTTCCTTTTTAATACAGTGATGATGAAAATACATTTAAAATCTTAGTTGCAACTGACATTCATCTGGGATTTATGGAGAAAGATGCAGTCAGAGGAAACGATACATTTGCCACACTTGATGAAATTTTAAGACTTGCCCAGGAAAATGAAGTAAGTTTGGTTAATGTTTTTTAGTGTTTTCTTACTCAGCAGGCTCTTTTTTCTTCTTAAAATTAGAGGTTTGTTTTATATGCTTATCTGCTTACATTGCCTGTTTAAATATCAATATACTAAAAACCCAAAGTAGGTTTTGTGTGTTTTGTGCACTTAATTCAAGTAGGAACTACTTTTGAAAATAATCTGTAAAGATTTACAAATATTGATGGGGTACTTTCTGAGTGTAGAAGTGTCATAGTTTCTATTTTCAAAGAACATATACCAGCCAAATGCAAAATAAGACAAATTTCCAAAATGCTCAGATGCAGGGTCACATGTGATAAGAGTCTTTTCTGGATTTTAGAGGAGGAAGAGATGGTATTTAGATGAGGATATCAAGATGAGTTCAGTGAAGGAGGTGGCATTTAACTTAGGCTTTTGATGGGTGAAGAGCATGAAGAAAGTACATTTCACAGGAAGCAGGAGGAAGGGCACAGAGGTGAGGCAATATGAGGTATGTCAAGGGAACAGCAGGTCTGGTCAGCTCACTGGTAGACCACGTGCTTGTTAGAAATCACCTTGAAGGACCAGAAACGTGATTTGAACTGCATTAAGGAGCACTTCAAACGCCAGATGGAGGAGTTTGTACCTAGTTCAGTACAAAGTCTTCTGGCAACTTGGAGCATGAATTGGAAACCAGTTTGAGGCCTTTTAAAAGTGGTAGCATGGGATAGAAAAGAGGAAGTGAATGCAGGAGATATTCCAAAGATAGGATTTGCATTCTTTGATTGATTAGTTGTAGGAGGTGGAGATGAGGGAAAAGGGGATGACAGTGACTGTGAAGTGTTAAGTTTGGGTGATTGGTGGTACCAATAATAGAAATAGGTTTTAAATAAGGAAGAGGTACTGCTTTATTGTGGGAAGGTGATGAATTCTGATTTAGGCCATTTGAGTTGGGAGATTCCAATAGGACATTCAAAGAAACATTCCAGCAAGCAGTTGAAATGTCAGTCTAGGGCCCAAGAGAATCCTGTTTCCTTTATTTCCCAATGCTTAGGTCTTAAAATATTTCTTTCCTTAAGGAGATAAGCTTTTTTTTCTACTTTGCCCTTTCCTTCTCTTCTATTTTGTTTTCCTTCCCTGCATTCCTTAAGTTTAACTGCCCCCTCCCCTCACAGCCCCATGCTGGTACTTTCAGATGCATATTATATTTACTTTTTGCCTTAATTCTTCTTGACTCTGAAGTCTTCTATTTGGTAGGGCCTATGCTATCTAACCAGCCTTATTTCTACTCCTTGGAGTTTTGTGGGGTTTTTTAACCTTTAATTTTGAAACGTTATCAGTTTTACAGAAATGTTGCTAGAATAGTACAAAGAATTCCTTACCCTTCACCCAGATTTTCCTACATTTTACCACATTTACTTTATTCTCTCTTTGCTTACACACACACGCACACACAATTTTCTGAACCATTTTAGAGTAAATTGCATGTATAACAATAGTTTACTTACCAAAACCAGAAAATTAATATTGATTCAATACCATTATGTAACTTTAAGATGTTACCAGTTGTCTCACTAATGCCTGTTACAGCAATAGGGGGACAGGTAGATGTTTAGTTGTCATATTTCTTTAGTCTCTTGTAGTGTGTGTCTTTCATGACTGACATTGTTGAAGAGTGCAGGCTAGTTATTTTGTAGAATAGTCCTCAGTTGGATATGTCTGGTATGTCCTCATGATTAGATCCACTTTTGGCAGGAATACCACAGCTTCTCAGTGTTCCCTGGAGTCACAAACTAGTTTCTAGATATATTTTTAAAAAGTTTTTCCTTCTGGTAAAGTACACACAGTAAAACTTACCATCTTAACCATTTTTTAAGTGTACACTTCAGTATTGTTAAACACATTCACATTGTTATATAACCAGTCTCTAGATTGCTTTTCAACTTGCAGAAGTGAAACTATACCATTTAAACAACTCCCCTTTTCCTTTCTTCCCTAAAATTGTCTTTTATTTGTTGTTTTGTTTCTTCTATGCCTTTGATTACCATCATTTTCTTCCTTTACTCAAATCATGTTCATTTTTGAAGACCTGGCTTAAATCCTACATTTTTATGAAAGCTTCTCTGACTCTGCTGTAGGGATGGAAAACTTATCCCTTCTTATCTAGGTTCTTTGGCTGGTCTGATAATTACATTGACAGATTAACAGGAGGAAAACAAATTTCATACATAAAAGCGTGAGAATCCCTGATAGCCGGGTAATTGAGGCTTACATACCATCATGAGCAAAAGAAGGGGTTAAGGGTGCCGAGCTTCAAAGGGGAAGAAGGCAGTTCACAGGAAGATGGGAAGAGCAAATGCTGGGTAATGCAGATAAATTTCTGCTATAAAAAGTTATCTCTGGTAACAGCTCTCTTCCTGATACAGGCTGTCTAGCTAAATTCTTTTAGGCAGTTAAGGAAAAGGTAGAAATGCTTGTCCTGAGTCAGCTGCGTCTTAATTACCTTCAGCTCAAAACAATCCCCATTTCAGTGTGGCACATTTTGGGGTGGTGTATTCCCCCCCCACACTATAGCTCATAATCATCTGTGCTGCTGGGTTCTTTCGTGTAAATAAGAACTGCAAATTTCTTCAGGTAGATTGGACACTTCTTGAAAGCGTCAGTGTTGGACTTTCATTTGGTGTGATTTCCCCTTCTCTCTGGTTGTTCCTAGAATGCTCTTCCTCAGAATCTCATTTATCCTTCATAGTGCCACCGTGTGGGCAAATCCCTCCCAGACTCGCAGTTCTCAGAGGAACTTCCTTTCCTCGGTTAGAATTCATTGTAATGTCACCTCCTGCTTTGTTTACATATCCGTTCTAGTGCATGTCAGTTTGACTTATCTCTAATGCATAACAGTTTGTCTCTTCCATTAAATTTTGAACATTTTTAGAATAGGGATTGTATTTTATTTATCATTGTATCCTTTGCATAGTACATGGTATTGCACATTGTCAGTATTTAATGAGGGCAGGGACATTATTGATTTTGTAAATTGCTATTTCCTCAGCTGCCAGTGCCTGTAGGAGCTCTCTAAATAATTGTTGAATAAATGGAATGAATAATTTCAATTGAATTGGATATCTCTTTCAGAGGTTCTATTAAAGTGTGAGCTTTATCCTTGATTTGAATAATGAAAAAATGTAATCACTTAGGGTTCATCAGTAAGAGAGTTGGTGTTATCATTTGAAGATAGCTTTTTTGAAGGTGGCCTAGGAACCTAAATAGGAATCAGATTAATCACCAGATTGGGAGTTCCTTTGAATAAGTAAAATATAAAATTTTAAATTTCCATACACAATAGCATTTTATATGATATATTTTTTCTACCCCTTTCATCTATAGAGAAATTTTATCTATAAAACATACTAATTTTAACACTTTTCTGCTGATTAGGTGGATTTTATTTTATTAGGTGGTGATCTTTTTCATGAAAATAAGCCCTCAAGAAAAACATTACATAGCTGCCTCGAGTTATTAAGAAAATATTGCATGGGTGATCGTCCTGTACAGTTTGAAATTATCAGTGATCAGTCAGTCAACTTTGGTTTTAGTAAGTAAGTATATTTACGTGCTTATGTGAAGTTTTCTTCTGTAGAGTATTTTCTACATAAGACACAAACACATTAACAATGAATATTTCATCTTTATTATAACTTATTTTCATAGTAAATGTAGTTTTTTGAATTTCTTGTACATCATTAATTTGTAATTCCTTAATTGTGGGACTGAGTATCTTCTTGAATTTTTATTGTACATTTTGGTATCCTCTTCTGTTTATATCCTGTGCTCATTTTAAAAATTGGGATTTTTGCCTATTGCTACTGACTTTGTAGAAGTTATCTATATATTCTAGATACTTCGCTTTTGTCAGGCGTGGTGTATTTTTTCCCTAGTCAGTGGATTATCTTTTGGCTTTGTTTATGGTGCCTTTTGTTGACTGAAATATTTAATTTTGATGTAGTCAAATACGTGTTTTTTTTAAGGTTTTTGCTTTTGGGACTTATTTATGATATCTACCAAGAACCCCATGCCATAAAGATACTCATGTTTTTTCTTAAACATTGTGTAAAAATACCATATTGCATTAGTTGAATGTTCTGTTATTCTTCAGCATATGCTGGTTTTTCATCTTTCCTCTCTTTTATGACCTGATGCTTTTGAAGTGTACTGGTCATATATTTTATAGAGTGCCCCTCACTTTGGCTTTTTCTCATGATTAAACTAGGATTATGCTTTTTGGGGAAGAATATTCCTCACAGAGGTGAAGTGCCCTTCTCATAGCATATCAGGAATACATGCTATCAACATGGCTTATCATTGGTGTGGTTAACCTTGATCACCTGGTAAAGGTGGTGTCCAAGTCTGTCCACTGATTTTAATATCTATTAGTAGCTCATTGCTGCTAGCAGTTACAACTGTGGTGTTCTCATGGTGATTTTTTATTTTCCACATTCTTTCTACATTTATTGATTGGCATTCTTTATTAAGGAAGATTTGTCCCTTGTTTCCTATTTATATTTATTTATTTATTCATTCATTCATTCATTCATTCAATTGTCTATGTCATTAGGAACTAATTCAAGTGTTTATTGGTATGAATTTATTTTTCGCCCTTTGGGTTATAATTTAATACTTTTGTAATCAATTATATCAGCTTTAGCCACTTGAGTATTCTTTCAGATTGCCTCCTATGACCATTTGACATACTGAATTCCAGAAGTAGCCTCCATATATGTAGGAATTAGTATTTGATAAAGGTGGCATCTCATACCTCCATGAAAAATATGGATTATTCAATAAAAGTACTAGAAGAAACTATTATACAATTTTTGAAAATCTAGATGTAGAAAAGGCTTTTCTAAGTATGACACAAACCTAGGAGCCTTAAAAGAAAGGATTGGTACTTTTGTCTTGTAAAAGTAAATTTCTGCTTGGCAAAAACTGCCCAAAGCAATCAAAAGTGAGAGTTCAACCAGGAAGAATATTTGCAACTAATTCCAAATTAAGGTCTAATTTCTCCAGTAGATAAATAGTTCTTTCAAGTCAATAAAAAAATCCATGAGTTAATAAAAAAATATAGGTAAAGAATATGGACATAGTTCACAGAAAAGGAAATAAAGTGGCATTTAAACGTATTAAAAGGATATGAAAGATATAAAATGAAGCTCATTCGTAAGAAAAATAAAAAATGAAGTATACTGCAATGTTTTTCTCCTATTAGATTGGCATAAATCAGTGATTCGTAATCCTGGTGCACCTTGTAGTTACTTAGGAGTCTTAAAAAATACTTATTTATACCCAATCTTCAGTCCAGTTAATCTCGTTTAGTGTGTCATGGGCATTGGTATTTCTTAAAAGATTTCCCAGATAACTCTGATGTGCAGCTAGTATTTAGAACCACTGGCATTGATAATAAAGTATTATGTTGGTGGAGTAAGGGTGAACTGTCTTTCCCCTGAATTGCCATTGTATTATGTGTATTTCTGTCCTCTATGGAGGGAAATTGGCAGCATCTATCATTTATAAATGCACATGTGTTCTTTGACCCAGTAATTCCCTTCTAGACATTTTCCTGTCCTCTTACAAGGGCAGCTTTGTACAAGATCACTGACTCGAGCACTATTTGTAAAACAAAAGACTGGAAATGGTCTAAATGTCCATTGGTAGGTAACTACTTAAACACATTATAATAGTTAATACCATGGAGTACTGTCCAGCCAGAAAAGCACAAGGAAGCTCCTTAAGTATGATACAAAATGATTTCTAAAGTATGTTAAATGATGAAAGCAGGGTGCAGTAATCTATATCATGCTCTCATTTATGTAAGAAGGAAAAAGGTATCTTTATTTGCTTATACAGGTATAAGATAATTTTGCAAAGATACACTAGGAATTGTTAATGTCATTTGCTTCTAAGAAGAGGAGCTAGATAACTGGGGACAAGAGTGGGAGACTTTTAATTTGCACAAATAGTAAGTGTTAGAGCTGGAATTTTTAGTCTAGGTCTTTTGGTTTTAAAAGTGGATGTGTTTTTTGCCCTTCCCATTCTACAAATAAAAACCGTGGCTTTTAAAATTTTGAAAACCTATTAACGTCCCATTAATTAGATATACCACTGTTTTATACAATTCACTTGCATCATTTATGGTAGGGTTTTCTTTAATAAAGTGTTGTACTTTGACGTATTTTCAGACTTGACTTGAAATGAATTGTTGCCTACGATTTTATTTTTTTTAAAGCTCCAAATTTGTGGTCATTTGCCAACTTAGATCATCCAGTTTGCCTATAACTGCATTGTTTTTTGGGGGAGGATAATGGGGAAACGGCTTTTGTCTCTTACAGAACCTTTAATTACCTTTTTAAAATTTTTTTTATTTTTTAAGGTTTCCATGGGTGAACTACCAAGATGACAATCTCAACATTTCAATTCCAGTGTTTAGTATTCATGGCAATCATGATGATCCCACAGGGGTAATTATTGGGTTCTTACAGTTTGTTGAAATTTCAGAAATGATCAATTTGGTTTGTCTGTGGAAAGCAGTTTTTATTAAAATAGAGTCAAAAGTCAAATTTACTTTTTATTCATAGAAGCTTTTACATTGCTTTTAAGATAATTTTTTAAAATCTGGAATAACAATTGGTGTGTGAGGTATGCTTTTATTTCATTGGTGCTGAGATTAACAATAAATAACCAGGAGTAGCAATAAGCGAATACCTGTCATTTGTATAATGCTTTACAGTTACCTATAGGAAATGATTGTTTCATAAACAGTTTTAAATGTAAATTAGGTGATCTTATTACATCTTATTTGGAAGTAATAATAGAGGTCCTAAACTGAAAATATCTTTTTGTTTTATCTGGTAATGAATATTATAAATCGCTAGTTATCTAGTCTTTCTCCCCCTACATCTTAAGAGGCCTTAATATTACAAAGCACTTATTACTTGGTTAAAATATCATAACTTTGTTTTTTCAATATGTTTATACTGATTTCAGAGATAGGAAGGGAGAGGAGGGAAACATCAATGGTGAGAGTCATTGATCGGCTGCCTCCTGCATGCCCCCTACTGGGGATCGAGCCCACAACCCAGGCATGTGCCCTGACTGGGAATCAAACTGTGGCCTCCTGATTCATAGGTTGGCACTCAACCACTGAGCAACACCAGCCAGGCCAAGACATTATAAGTTTCGATGAAATGTTGTTCACTTTGCATTTAGCGTGTGATTCCAATTGCAGTCATTTCTAATTGGAAAAAAAGGTAGCAAAAACTTTTTAGTATTGTAGTTTTGTTTTGAGAAGAAACTGTGTTAATCTGTTTCTGTAACAAGTATATAGAATGTATGTTTTTGTAACTAGTATATGGAATATACTTTAATAGGTATTAATATGATATGCAGATTACTTATTTTTTAACATTCATTAATATACTTTGAAAATATTTTGTGTAGGCAGACGCACTCTGCGCTCTGGATGTTTTAAGTTGTGCTGGATTTATAAATCACTTTGGACGTTCAATGTCTGTGGAGAAGATAGACATTAGTCCAGTTTTGCTTCAAAAAGGAAGCACAAAAATTGCTCTTTATGGCTTAGGTAAGATGGTTTTATTGTATGTCAATAACTATTTAATTATTTAAGGACCTGGGAAATCAGATTCTGGAGTTAACTTTGTTGCTGTTTGGGAAGAAGTGAGGCAAATGTATATTCTTTATGAGTTACTATAAAAATGATAGGAGGTTTTGGTAGATATTTTTAGTATTTAATAAGGACTAGTAGACCTGATACTTATTTTTAATAGCAAATTTGGTGAAAAAAATTTTTTTCTTTACTATCTCTTTTTGTTGGTTCCTTTTAGACTTAGATGAAGAATCCTGAACATTACAATTGGAAAGTAATTAGATATCTTGGGAGTCTTTGAAAGGTCTAAAGCTTCACTGTCCAGTGCAGTAACCACTAGCCTCATACAGATGCTGAGCACTTGAAATGTGGCTCGTCTGCATTGAGATATGCTAGAAGTGTCAAGTACACATCAGATTTCAAAGACTTAGAAAAAGTGTAAAATATCTTATGGAGTTAAATAAAATATATTAAAATTAATTTCACCTGTTTCTTTTTTACTTGTGCTATTTAATTTGGCCACTAGAAAATTTTAGAAAATTTTAAATTATACGTTTGGCCTGCATGGTGACTCACATTATATTTTTATTAGATAATGCTAGTCTAGAGCTGTCATCTCTAATGCTCAGGAAATGTGCTTGATCAACTTTACTATCTTCAATTTGTTTAGTGTCCAGTAGGTGAAAGCCTATTTGCTAGGCTTTATTCCATATGAATGAAAGATCACAGACATTTTTAGAGTGCAAAGTTTAGTTACTGTGTCTTCCTTGCATTAAGTTCAGCTTGATATTTTATTTGTTTTATGGATGCGATAGCTTTATTGTGTTTGTTGTGTATGGAGTATTATAAAAATTATATTCCATGTTAAATCAACCTTAAAGTACCCTGAGAGAAATTGGGGGAAAATTTCACACAGTAGCCTCAACATAGGTTTTTATTACTTTTTTTTAGTGATTTTTTAGAAGCCTTAGAAGATCTTATTCAGTTGTCTTTGGGTATGTTTTTAAGATAATAAATTATGATGGGTTGTTTATTTAAACACTTTTTCTAGGGAGCTTATAATTTCTGTCCATTTCATAATTTCTCTAACAAGTAAAAAACATCATGATTATTTATATTTTAGAGATATAGAAAATGAAGTTCAGGTATATGTCTGATTTTGCAGTAACAGATCAAAAGTGAAATATACTTAAAAAAAAAAATCTAACTGCTATTTTAATCACTCTAATGTTGGGGTTCATAACTGCAGAAAATGGTTCATCTCTCATTTTCAGACTAAAGACATTCCATTATGCTTCAGTCATCCATTTTTTCTCAAACTCTCATCTCATCCTGTTCTGTTTTCCTTAAGTGGACTCTGTCTACCCTCCACCCCTACTCTCACCCCAACCCTAGAACACTTTAAAAAAAAATAGTTTATTGATTTTTAGAGAGAGAGGAAGGGAGAAGAGAGAAACATCCATGTGAGAGAGTAACATCAGTTGGCTGCCTCCCGCATACCCCATGCTAGGGATGGAGCCTGCAACCCAGGCATATGCCCTGACCCGGAACCAGCAACTTCTCAGTACAGGGATGACTCTGGAGCCATACATGCCGGGGATAGAACTCTTTTGATAGTTAGCAAATTCCCTCATATCATTAGGCTCTTCTCTGAATGTTGCCTCTGCTCTCTGACTGGCCCTGAGGTCACTGTGTTCCACACAGTTCTCTCTCAGCCTTTCATGGGCTTCAGGGCAAGGGCGTAGGCCAAGATGGTCATTGTTCTCCAGGTTCCCTGCTGCCACTTATTTGCCTGCCAGCAAACTCCCTGCTTCTTGGAACTAATTGCCAGCTGGCTAACCTGCCCACTCCTTTCCCTCAAATTTTTTCCCTACCTACAGATTTTGTGAGTGTTCTCAGTGCTTCAAGACTAAAATAGATCCACCTTCTAATGCCCTGGGCTTTGTATGCCTTGACTTTACCTCTCTAGTTATATGTTCTGCATTCCACTACCTATTCCGTTGGCTACATTCTAGGAATTCTCTTTAGAGGCTAGGCCTCTACTAGCTCTTATACTTCTGCAATTGTTGGCTTTTCTCTAAGACCTTCCCTGATCTCTACATAAATTAGCAATCTTGTTCCCTCACTGATATTACCCATCTTAGCATCCTGACTTTTTCTCCATTTATTTTTATTTAAAAAAATTTTTTTAATATGTCTTTATTGATTTCAGAGAGAGGAAAGGAGAGGGAGAGAGAGAGATAGAAACAGCAATGATGAGAGAGTCATTGATCAAGCCTGCAACCGGGCATGTGCCCTGACTGGGAATTGAACCCCGATCGCCTGGATCCTAGGTCAACTCTCAACTGCTGAGCCACGCCCGGCCGGGCTCTCCATTTATAATACTTACAATTGTAGTTTGTGTGTTTGTTTACTTGTTTGTGTTGTCCTCCTTCACTAGACTAAGCTAGTCCTTTGGGATAGAGGAAGAATTATTTAAAATTCATTAAATTATTGAAAAGTGCAGTATTTTTATTTAAAAATGCAATATATATGATTATTACTTGTACATACATTTATTTTTTCTCTCTCACCCCTCTTTCTGTGTATTTTATAATGTCTACATTGGGTCAAAAGTGCTATGTACTCATAATAAAGGGATAGTGAAAAACAATATTTTAAATAGAAATTTTAATAATGATTTAGACATAGAAACCTCAGATTTTTTTATTACACATTTTTCAGGTTTTGAAGGTATATGCTTGATAGGAAAACATTTTTTGAGTGCATTTAACTGCTCAGCAGTTGTCATGTAAGAACCTGGAACGTATTCATTTGCAAACAATGATTCGAGATTTCAAATATATCTCTAATAGGAAAATGAAATACTTAGAGAAGCACATAATTTAGAAGCAAAACATATTCATTTTTTAAAACCAAGTAAGAAACCACTTTTAAAATAACGTCATGTCCATTTCAGGATCTATTCCAGATGAAAGGCTGTATCGAATGTTCCTCAATAAAAAAGTAACAATGTTGAGACCAAAAGAAGATGAGAACTCTTGGTTTAATTTATTTGTCATTCATCAGAACAGGTAAAAGTTATTCTTTGGAAATTGTTGAGTCAGGTATTGAGGTTCCCCAGATCCCCGTTTCCAGGCTTACTTATTTGAGTAAAATGCTCCTTATTCTTTGAACGTTGTCAGTGCCGGGTCAGGCAAAACTTAGATATGCTTCGTGTGACCTCATTTGGAAAGTTTTCAATAAATATTCATACCTATAAGAGACTATTCAGAGCGTATGATAAGGTATAAGGGTAACCATAAAATGAATACCCCTAAACTCAGCAAAGAAGTAGAACAATTACCAGTATGTTATCCCATGCCCTTTCCTGACCCCATTTCTTTCTGCCTCCCCCAGAAAGAAGCACAATCTTCAGTTGTTATTTACTCAGCCCATTGATTTTCTTTGTTGTTTAATCACATATACATCCATAATGAATTATTTAGTTTGGCATAACTGGAATCATGTAAATTTTGCAGCTGGCTTATTATGTTAAATATTATGTTACTAAGATTTATCCATTTTGGACTTAAAAGTGTAATTCACTTTTGCTGATGTATAGTTATACTTTTCTCCTGGTAGTGAAGGTTTTGAGTTATTTCCAGATTTTTGCTTTTTTAAAACCTTTTTGTTGTGAACATTCTTATACACACTTATATAAAAATATTCCTAGGTACATGATCTGCTCTAATTTCACTTCCTGCTCTTCCCTGCGTTCATTCTGCTCAGCCACACTGATCTCCTTGCTGTTTTGAAATCACTGAACGCATTCCCATCTCTGCACCTTTGCCAGCTGCTTGTCCCTCTGTCTAGGTCTTTCTTCACTTGCCTGCTAATCCCTCACCTCATTTCTGTGCTCATTTGTCACCTGTTGGAGAGTCCTTTCCTGACCACACTATGTGTAGTGACATCCCCGTTCCATGTCACTTTTATTTTTCTTTATTTGTATTCATCACTACCTGGCAAATTTTATATGTATCTACCATGTGCATATGCTTATACATATATATCATGTATTGTTGCTTGTTTCCCCCACTAGAACAAGGACTTTTTTCACTGCTGTGTCTCCAGTATCTAAGTATTTGTTGAATGCATATTGGTTTGCATTATGTGAATGCTGGGCCAAATTATTTGAACACTTTCATTTAAATTCCAAAATATAAGTCAGTGTTAGGGAAAACCTTTCCTTCTTGTTTTTACTCACCTTGGGTTTTCACATATCTTTTAATAATAACAACTAACCTAGGTATAAAACCAGAGTTTGCAAATCACTTATTCACATGATATTTTATTTAATATGGAAAACTCGTATTTCTTGTGTAAAATTGACGTTCTTACTGTCATTATTTTTATAATCAGTAATAAAACAGATGATGTTAAAAAAATGGGCATATTTAGAGATTTCTTTTTATTCTACAAAGTTTAGGCTTAACTCTTATTTTCTGTATTCTTTTTTTGCTGTATAATTAAATCAATTTATAGGTTTTTACTGTTGATAGAGCTCATGCTTTTCTGACTTGCCCAAAATGGGTTATTCCTCTTTAAACCTCTCATGATCTGCATCTAAATGTAGGATTGACTGCTTTCTCTTCTGGGTCTCCTACTTGTCTATGTCCTGAAAATTTGTAAGCCCTTTGAGGAATTAGATATCTTTGTATTCTCAATCCCTTGCACAGTTTTGGCACATAGAAGGGATGTAATAAATCTTTAATGAATGGAGAAAGATCTGTATAGAATACTTAATATGAAATTTTTTATATCTCTGAATATTTATATTATTTATTTTTTAAAATCTTGGTATAGGAGTAAACATGGAAGTACTAACTTCATTCCAGAACAATTTTTGGATGAATTCATTGATCTCGTTATCTGGGGCCATGAACACGAGTGTAAAATAGCTCCAACCAAAAATGAACAACAGCTCTTTTACATATCACAGCCGGGAAGTTCAGTGGTTACTTCTCTTTCTCCAGGAGAGTCTGTAAAGAAGTGAGTAATAGTTACCTTTTCCAAATCACTTTTTTAAAAAAAACCTGCTATAATATTCTATTTAGCCCATAGTTTCAAGGTACTGATGGTATTGTTATTTGTATGATAGATTTATTTATAAAGATAGATCATTTGATGTAATCTTGCTATTTTCCCAGATTGTAAGCCATTTGAACATGCCAGCATCCCAGTGGTCTTAATAATTTCTCTGCTTATTAGGCAAATGGAAGAATAACATTTTTATTTATTAAATTTCGAGTTACAATGCTAGAGATTATTACTAATTTCACAATGTCCATTAATAAACAAATTCATCTAAAACCATTTATGAAATTTTATATAAAAATGTAGGTAATAGTGATTAGCTAATAGTGGTTTTGCCCTTTAATCCACTCAAGTTCTGATTGTTAAGATGATAATAGGTTTAAAGAATATGGTAGGATGTAAGTTTTTTTATTTCCGTCATAGTTCTGCTGCTAATATGCATGTGCATACATACACACATGATACATATCTATGTAATAGTATATGCTACACATATTACTATCATAGTCCTGATAGCATTTTATTATACTTACTGTTACGTTTGTCCTCTACTCAACTGTATATTTGTTCAGGCAGGAAAAATGATGGGAGAGTGGATTTGTTTGAGGAAGAAGAATATTTAACATTTTTTCCTGTGAGATAACATTAAATTGCTGAAAATATATTTTAAGGGTATGATTTTATAAATAATTATTTTGTAGAATCTTAGAAATGTGGCAGTTTTGCTGTGCACGGTTTTTTGAGGAAATGTCATTTTCCTCCTTGTTTCAGGCATGTTGGTCTGTTGCGGATTAAAGGAAGGAAGATGAACATGCAGAAAATCCCTCTTCACACGGTGCGGCAGTTTTTTATGGAGGACATTGTTCTGGCTGATCATCCAGACATTTTTAACCCAGATAATCCTAAAGTAACCCAAGCCATACAGAGCTTCTGTTTGGAGAAGGTAATTCTTCCAGAGAAAGGTCGATGAGATCTACTTTAATTGAGAGATTATTTACACTGAGTTAAATACTTCAATAGAGGGAAGTCACTATATTTGTTACAGTCTCATGGAGCTTGTAGGGAACCATGGTTCAATAAATGAGTTTAGTTGTATCAAAAACCTTTTAAGTCTTCCAGATGGAGGAATGTTATATATAGAAGAAATTTCAGTTAAGCCCCTCTCCCAATTCCTTTCCTCCTCTCAAATATGTACATAATCTTTTCTCTTTTTTTATTCTGACTTGATAATTTGTTCATTTTATTTATGAAAGCAGGCAGTGGCTTTGATTGGGAATTATGAAAGATGCGGAGAGCCTTAACCTCTCTAATAATCTCCATTAGGCATCCGTTTCACCCTAAAGCTACCCCAAACAAAGTCTTAAAATGTGTTTGCTATGTACCTGTAGCGTCAGCATAAGTCCCATACCTCCCCTTCCCTGCAGATTGCCACCCCTAAACCTCTACGGAAATTATAGAGCCACTATTGGTGTTGTTGAATGCACTTGATACTATGTAAATTGACAGCTTAATAACATTAATTGCTGACACTCAGTTCTTACTCTGTGCTAACTCTCTGCTTTGCATCATAGTGTCATAAAAATTCATGTGAGGTAGTAATAATGATAATAGTAATTATCACTGATGTCCATTGCCTGCTTAGATATTCTGGACACCGCTGACAACATTTTGTATTTAATCCACTCAACAGTGCTGTGGATAGATAGATTCTACCATCCACACATTATAGAGAGAGGAACAGGACCTTAAATAAAGTAACCTGCCCAGTGTCGCAGCTTCACCGGCAACATGGAACGTACATAACTGAAAAGGCTAAGAGTGTGTTGGTTTCAAGATGATTAGATCTAGAAACTCAAATTAAGATTATGGATTTCTCTGTCTCTGTTCCAGCCCCATGCTACCCATTCTGATGGTTTCTGTCTTAAACTTCACTATAAGGAAGGTGTTTTCACATGGTGGCCTATAGACACATATGTACAGAGGAAAGAATCATTTTTCCCAGTAGCTCCAGATAAACCCCTAGCATTGAGTTTCACTGGACTGAGGTCACGAACTTGTCCCTAAACCAAATCTCTGAAGCCAGGGAGATGGAAAACAAATTAATTGGTCAGGCCTGGGTCAGGGAGCCCAGGGTCTCTCAACCTTGACACAACCGACATTTTAGACTGGGCAGTTTTTTGTTGTAGGACGTTGTTCTGTGCATTGTAGGATTTTAACAATATCCTCTCTGACCTCTGCCCTCTGGATGTCGTTAATATCCCTCCCTGTAGTCATAACAATATTTTTATTTTGAGATTGAAGAAATGCTTGAAAATGCTGAACGGGAACGTCTGGGAAATCCTGGACAGCCAGATAAGCCTCTTATACGACTGCGAGTAAGTCCTATTTTAGATGAATTGAACTTTATTGATTTTCAGAAGACTGTATTGCCGACTTTATTTCACTCTTGCTCACCTTTGCCCCTATGATCCTGGTGTGTAATGTGCTTCTCTCGTTCCGTAATATTTCTTTCAACACCCACTTAAAGCTTCCACTCTTCAAATAATCCTTTCTTGACCTCCCTTCAGAGTCCATACTTCTTCCTTTGTGTCCTCAGTTTACTCTGTACGTACTTCTTTCAGCACCATTTCATTTTGCTTGCAGTTATTATTTACATGTTTGTCTTCCCAGTCAGCTTGTGAATTTGACAACCAGTTGGGTTTTATTGGTGGCTGTATCCCTGGCACTTAGCAGAGGGCCTAGCACATTGTGAACACTCAAATAAAGTTTGCTTAGTAAACAAACTTTGTGACTCTCAGGAGCAGAAAATTACAAATAAAGCTGGGCCAGAGTCTAATTGTTAAAATGTCTGAAGAGTTTGGGGAGATCTGATAGCTTGAGCATTTCACATTTTCTGTTTTATAACATGGCAGCTGTGGAGATGGTCTGGGTAACACATAGTTGCTTTGGGAGAACCACATAGTTCTCTTTATCTGGGCAGGAGATCCCATGTTTCTCATCTACATCTGCCTGATACCATTAGAACCAACAGACTGAAATAGAAAATTGACATTCCTTTTCCTAAACGTGATAAATTATTAATTCATTTGTGAAACAAAGGAGCAGGTATTTCTATGTACATAATATTCCAAAAGTACATTGTATCGGCCAGAGGCCCCTCATGAATTCATTGATTCAGTGGACCTATATTTATTGAATACCTCCTGTCCTGCGTGCTAGGAACACAGTAATGATAACACAGACGAGTTGTTGAATTTGTGGAGCTTATGGGAAGTGGAGCTGTGAGACATAATAAACAGATAGCAAGTAAATGAACAAAAGTCAGCTTATGCTGAGTGTGATGAAGCGTATAAGTGGGTGAAGGAATAGTGTGGATAGGCTGGTGATGTGGTATAATGCTGGTTCCCAGAGTATTACATTGAGAACAGCTAGTTTAGGAAAATGATTACAGTTGACCCTGACCAACAAGTTTGAACTGAACAGGTCCACTTATATGTGAGTTTTTTCATTAGATATTTTAAGTGTATTTTTTCTTATGATTTTCTTTTCTCTAGCTTACCTTATTGTAAGAATATGTTATATGATATATATAACATACAAAATATGTATTAATCAACTGTTTGTTATTAGTAAGTCTTCTGGTCAAAAGTAGGCTATAATTTTGGGGGGAGTTAAAAGTTATAAATGTATTTTCGACTACATGGAGGGTTAGTGTCCCTAACCCCCACTTTGCTCAAGTGTCAGCTATCTCTTAGAAAGCAATGTATTTCTCTTTGTAAAGGTTTTTGTATCACTACACTTCTTTAAAAAGAGACTGCCTTGAGAGCTCTCATTAGTTCTGATAAACAGCTCATGTGTTTTGAAGGGTAATCATTTCTCAAAGCTCATAGATTTGATTATTTTTCTGCATGGATTTTCCCGGTATTTATTCTCGTCTAGAGTGAGAGAATATGCCTAAGAGGATAGACCCATTAACTAATGCATCTAGGGCCAGCATTTTATTTTGGATAAGAATTTTGTTTCTGTTTTGGAAGTTCAAAATTTTGTTAAAACATTCACCTCCTTTTCAGATGGTACTCCTGGTGCCTAGACTACTAGTGTTATCATGGGAGATGTAATCATTCCAACATTATGAGAATTCTTGCTCTGTCTTGTTTCCATTGAACCAAGTGTTTTACGTAAGCTTATAAACCTTTGAAGCTTTATTTTCTCAGTAGAATAAATGGTATAACACCATAAGGATCTTTAAAATGAACTGTAGAACATTCATTTATTAACTTAAAAGTATTAAGCATAAACCTAAATACTGAAATGGTTTATCCTGTATTTCCAGGTGGACTACAGTGGAGGTTTTGAACCTTTCAATGTTCTTCGCTTTAGCCAGAAGTTTGTGGATCGAATAGCTAATCCAAAAGATGTTATCCATTTTTTCAGGCGTAGAGAACAAAAGGAAAACACAGGTAAGCTAGTTATTCTTACAAATTAAAAAATGCTCTTATAGGGTTTATGTAAATCAGTCTTTAGTAAAAGAAGAATAAAATAATGGGAAGTGTTATAGTAAGATTTTTCCTAATATCTTAAACAAATAAACTGATAGTTGAATAAATTTCTTGTCTTCTAAAACTTAGATAGCAACCATTTTTAAACTTGTGTGAATATCAAAAAAAAGGAAGGCTTTCTTTGCAGACGTAGTTTTTTTATTTATTTATTTATTCTATTTTTAATTTTTAAAAAATATATCTTTATTGATTTCAGAGAGAGGAAAGGAGAGGGAGAGAGAGAGATAGAAACATCAATGATGAGAGAGTCATTGATTGAGCCCACAACTTGGGCATGTGCCCTGACGGGAAGTCGAACCCTGATCGCCCGGATCCTAGGTCGATGCTCAACCACTGAGCCACACCCGGCCGGGCAACAGACGTAGTTTTTTTAAACAGTGCTTCTGAGTACCAACACACACAGACTGTACAGATTTATTGCTCAAATTAAATATCTGTTATTTATTATACAATATTCATGTTCAGAGAATATATTCTCACATTTTGCATTATTAAGTATTTCAGCTTTAGGGCATACATGGTTTAGGAAGATGCCAGTCTTTTTTTGTTTGTTTTTTGTTGTTGTTTTTTTAAAATATATCTTTACTGACTTCAGAGAGAGGAAGGGAGAAGGGGGGAGAGAGAGAAACATCAATGATGAGAGAGTCATCATTGCTCAGCTACCCTCCTGCACACTCCCTACTGGGGATCAAGCCCGTGACCTGGGCCTGTGCCCTGACTGGGATTCGAACCTCGATCTCCTGGATCATAGGTCGATGCTCAGTTGCTGAGCCATGCCCAGCCAGGCAATAAAGTCATACTTAAAAACACACACAAAAAAACAGGTCATCTGACTGAAATAGTTACCGTTGAACAACATGGGTTTGAACTGCACAGGTTCATTCATATGTGGATTTTTTTCAATAAATATGTACAATACTGTATATGTACTTTGTCTTATGATTTTCTTAATGACATGTTTTCTCTAATTTGCTTTATTGTAAGAATACAGTATATAATAATATAAAAAAATATGTATTAATTGACTGTTTATGTTATTGGTAGGATTTCCAGTCTATAGTAGGCTATTAGTTAAATTTTGGGGGAGTTTATACACAGATTTTTAACTGTGCATTGGATCAGCACCCCTTACCCCCAAGTTGTTCAAGGGTCAATTGTAGTGTTTCTTCACAATAAATATTAATCATGTTAAATATAGAGGCTATTTTTCTTAGAGCTGTTGAGTCAGAATTTTCATAGAAAAATATGGCCCTTGTTTACAAGTAAGCTACCTAGGTTCTTATTAACTTGGATTTAATGGGTTTCTATTTTCCGTGTCAAATTGTGATAAAAATTGTGTATGCTGTTAATTCAACCTACCTGAAATAGTCATTTAGATATTTAAATGGAGCTCATAGAAGACTGTTTTAGGGGGCAAATCTGTATAAGAGAATTGCATTTTCATGCTATGAATTTTAATTAGCTACTTATTGATGGTGCTTTACTTTAATTTTCCATCCTTATCAATTCCTTGAAATTTTATGTGTGTAGCATTTATAAGAACAGAATATAGAACTAGTACCTTATGTTGCTTGAGTTTTATTCATAGTGAGTTTTTTGTAATGATTCCTTTTTTGTTTAACCATAATGAGAATCCTACTCATTCTGCAAGGCTTGATTCAAATGAGAGCTGCATTGGATAGCAGCACATTATTCTCAACCTTCTTTAAGAAGAATTGTTTTGGCCCAGCTGGGCATGGCTCAGCAGTTGAATGTCGACCTAGGATCCAGGAAATCGGAGTTTGATTCCCGGTCGGGGTACATGCCCGGGTTGCGGGCTGCAGCCGATCAATGACTCGCATCATTGATGTTTCTATGTCTCTCCCTTTCTCTCTGAAATCAATAAAGATATATTTAAAAAAAGAAGAATTAGTTTGTTTCTTCTCCATGTGTCATATTCTCTGTTCTTACCTCTGTTGTAGCACTTACCACCTTGCATCGTAATCATTTGTTTTTATGGGCAAGGATCCTGTCTTTTTAAAAAATATATATCTTTATTAATTTCAGAAAGAGGAAGGGAGAGAGAGAGAAACATCAATGATGAGAGATTCATTGATCGGCTGACTCCTGCATGCCCCCCACTGGGAATCGAGCCCGAAGTCCGGGCATGTGCCCTGACCTGGAATTGAACCCAATCTCCTGAATCATAGGTTGATGCTCAACTGCTGAGTCATGGCTGCCAGGCAGGATCCTATCTTTTTATCATTGCATTTTCAACACCAGCTCCAAGACTTGCTATATAGTTAATGTTTGTTTCTCTGACAAAGATTATCAGCAGAGCAGATACTGGACCTTCTGCTTCCTGACTTCCTACCCAGTACTTTTTTTATCCTTCACCTACTGTTTTTTGAGACAATCATCCTCCTTAGGAATGCAGCAAAAGTGCTTTAAGCATACATCTTATTTATCTCACAGAATATTAAAAAGATATGTACTTTAAAGCTAAGATTTAAGTAAATTGATAATTTTTAGTTTCATCAAGGACATTCTAAAGTGAAATTGGCTTTTTCTGTTTTGTTTTGAACTCTATGTACTGGTGACTATTAGTATAAGACTTCTGAACTACTGCCTTGACTCATCCCAAGGCACTGGCAATTTTACCCATGATTGCTTTTGTATTATCAGTGCAGATGTCACTATAGTGGAAAAAGTAAATAACATCTTAATATCATTATTAAAGTAGTTTTCACCTTGAACACCCCCTGAAATGGACCCCCAGAGGTCTGTGGACTACCCTGTGAGAATAGTTGCAAGAGATATACTACTTAGAGATATAGAAAACAAATATAGACTTTAGGGAAAAGTCTATGGATATTAGCAAAAATGCCATGTTTTTGCCTCAAAATTTACTACACTGAGCAAGCTAACAGTTGATAAAGTTTGGCCATACCTCCTTTACTGATAGCAACCTGCAATGAGTTTGGAGACTTTATATTATAACATAAGCTGCTATTTTTTCATGGACTTCTTTTTTTTCTAGGAGAAGTGATCAACTTTGGGAAGTTCATTTCAAGACCTTCAGAAGGAACAACTCTAAGGGTAGAAGACCTTGTAAAACAGTATTTTCAAACTGCAGAGAAGGTAATTTCTTAATTACAGGTTACAACTTAAATAATGGCTACCTTATAATTACAGGTTTAATTTAGGATATGTATAATTGATAGTTTAAATAAAAGGGATCCTCAAAATGTTTCCAAGAAGTAAGTAGGATGGCAATTAATTTCATTCATTTATAGCTACTACACACCAAGAGAAATTGCATGCTTAATTAATGTTATTAATATTATTATTATTGTGGCCATTATTGTTGATGTTGTTATCCTCTTTTTATCGCTACTGCATAAGTCTGAATCTAGGATTTACTTTTCTTGCATCTGGATGTAATTTCAGAATTACATTATTAATATAGCCACAGGGTTGTGAAGCTACTCTTTTTTTAAAAAAAAACACACCTTAGTACTTTAGTTTGGCTAAGAAAGAATTCAGAGTCAAGACTCAAACTATAAGAGAAAGTTTATTTAGAAAGTCACAGAGGTAGAAGTGAGCGGTAGAAGAAATGGGCTCAGGAAACAGGTTTCAGAGGCAAAAGAAGGGCCCTTGGAGCTTAGGAGAGTGAGAGAGGCAAGGAAAACACCCCTGGGGGAAGAGGGTGGAGAAAGGCATGGGAAGTTCCATAGAGAGGCGCCAAAGCTACTCTTACTGTCATGAGTATATGCCACTCTAAGATCCTCCGTTGTATTAGTTTCCTATTGCTGCTGCAGCAAATTTTCACAAACCTAGTGGTTTAAAACAACATAGGTTTATTATCTTACAATTCTTTAGGTCAGAAATCTGACACCTGGTCTCACTGGACTAAAATTGAGGTGTCAGCAGGGCTGTGTTCCTTTCTTGAGGCTCCAGGGTAGAATCCATTTCCTTATCTTTTCCAGCTTCTAGAGGTGCCCACATTTTAAAAAAAAATCTTTATTGTTGAAAATATTACAGATGCCTCCTTATTTCCCCATTGACCTCTTCCACTGTGCACCTACTCCCAGCCCCAGGCCTTCATCACACTATTGTCTGTGTCCGTGGGTTATGCATATATTCATATGAATTCTTGGTTGTGGCTCATAGGCTCCTTTTTCCATCTTCAAAGCCAGCAACGTTGTGATTCTCTGGCCATTTTTCTCCAGTTACACCTCTCTCTGACTCCCTTCTTTTGCCTGTCTCTTCCACTTTCAAGGATATTCATAATTTCACTGGGCTCACGAGGATACTCTCTGATAATCTGATTGTATAGCCAGCTGACTAGCAACCTTAGTTCCACCTGTAACCTTAGTTCCTCTTTGCCATGTAACATATTCACAGGTCACAGAGATTAGGATGTGGACATCTTTAGGGGGCCATTGTTCTGCCTACCGCATTGGTTAACCTAATTTCTCTTAATAATCAGCTGCCACTTCTGGCCTCTATATCCCAGCCACTCAGGCCTCTGCATTTTCACCTGTCCTGTGCTCTACTCCTGTTTGTTTTCACTTTGCTTTCTCTGGCTCTTAATATTTATCAGTTGGCTTAATACTGATAAATACTGATAAAACTGTCCATTGTTTTGTTTTCCCTTCAATAACTAGACAACTTTTGTCTTTTTCCCTGGAAACATTATTCTGTAATTTTCCTTGCTCATATAGAATTATTTTGTAAGGAATAGATAGTATTCTCTGTATCTAGTGATTTGTATCTGTCTTATAGAATGTGCAGCTCTCACTTCTAACAGAAAGGGGAATGGGTGAAGCAGTACAAGAATTTGTGGACAAGGAAGAGAAAGATGCTATAGAGGAATTAGTGAAATACCAGTTGGAAAAGACACAGCGATTTCTTAAAGAACGTCATATTGATGCCCTAGAAGATAAAATTGATGAAGAGGTGAGTAATTTCAGAGGGTAAGTCTATTTAGATAGTCTCTCCTTAAGAGTAGCTCTGAGTTTCATTCTAGTAAACTACTATTATTTATTCTGATTTGTTTCATTTTCTCATCTATAAAACTGAGATCATAAAATGAGATTTAAATCAGAAAATGTCTAATGTCTATATTCTGTATAGTATAATGGTGGATACATGTTCTTATATATTTGTTCAAATCCATAGAATGTGTAACACCAAGAGTGAACCCTAAGGTAAACTGTGGTCTTATATATAATGATTTGTCAGTGTAGGTTTGGCAATTATACAAATGTACCAATTCTGGTGGGGAATATTGATAATAGGAGAGGCTATGCATGTGTGGGGTAGGAGGTATATGGGAGATCTCTGTACCTTCCTTTTAATTTTGTTGTGAACCCAAGCTGCTCTAAAAAAAATTAATAATACACCAAAACATTTCCCCTAAAATGATCATCCCCACCTGGAGTGACAGCATGACTCCTGAGATCCTGTATCTGTATGTGTGCACGCATGTGTGCGCACGTGCACCTGTGTAGCATGGTGGCTGAGAGCAAGGACTCTGGATCAGACCACCTGTGTTCAGAATCAAAGCCCTTACTAGCTGTGTAACCATCAGTGAGTTATTTAACTGCTCTGCCTCAGTTTCCTCATCTATGAAGTGGGGATAATAATAGAACCTCCTTCAAGGTAGTTGTGAGGATTAAATGAATCAATACATGGAAAGTCCTCAGAACACTGTGGCACATAGTGTCTGCTCAGCACTTTTACTCTGCCTCTCATTTCTCTTCTGTGAATGACTCAGCGCTTTTGTTATGTCACACAGCACTTTTACGTACTATGTCATTTCTTAAAAAAAGATGATTATTTCTGTATTTTCCCCCTGCTAATGAGTCATAGCAAACATGCTCTTATTTCTTTCAACAAACAAATCTAGATCTCTTTCCCTTTACGACTCTAATTTTTGGTTCCTCTTTTACAGCAGAAATGTATCAAGGAGTTTTCTGTATCTGCTGCCCTGATTATTCTCCCTCCTTTTCTCTCTTAAACCCATCTATTTGGGGCTTTTGACCTCATTATTCCAGTGAAACTGCTCTTGTCAAGGTCACTAATGATCTCCATTGCAAAGTCCCCTGGCAGTTTTCCATCTTAAATTTCACTAACCTCTTCCTAACCCTTTTTTCATTGGTTTTTAGGCCTCCACACTTTTCTGGTTTTCCTTCTACCTCCTTGCCTGTGTGTTGTCAGTCTGTGTGGTTGATCCCTCTCATCTCCAGCCTCTTAAGTGGAAGTGCCCACAACTGAGTCCTTGGACCCCTTGTTCATCTACATATTCCCTTTTGTAATCTCCAGCTTCCTGGCTTTAAATGTCATCTGTTTGGTGGTGACTTTCAAAAGTCTAAGCCAAACCTCTTCTCTCAACTCCTCTATAGTCAACAGCCTGCTAGATATTTCCACTTGGATGTTTAATAGATATCTCATACTTCATACTTTAAATTCCCATCATAATTGCTAATTCTCAGCCCTTGCTCTATCTGTAGGGTTCTTGTTTGGACCAAAATCCTTGGAGTCATCCTTGCCTCCTCTCTTTCTGTACCTGCCTCCTCTCTGTAAAGCCTTTTGGTTCTACCTTTAGAATATATACAGAATATGACTTACCATCATCACTACCAGTGGGCCAAGGCATTGCCATTTCTCAGCTAGATTATTCCAATAGCCTGCAAACTGGTCTCCCAGTTTCTACCTTGCCCTTTCTCCACCCCGTATTCTGTCCTCAATTCAGCTTGAGTGATCCTAACATATTTCAGGTAAAGTCAATCCTGCCTTAAAAAAGTCCTTCCAGTTGCTTACAAGGCCTTTTTCAGTCTGACTTTCTGTTACTTCCTTACCTTCATTTCTGCTGCAGCCACAGAAACCTTCTTGCTCTTCCTTAAACATACCAGGCATATTTCTGCCCCAGTGTCTTTGCACATATTCTTTTTTTTTGAATGGAGTGATTTTCTCCAGTTATTTGCAAGGTTCATTCCCCACCTTTTAAAATCTTTGCCCACATATTACTTTCCCAGTGAGGCCTTTTGTTATCATCCTATTCAGATTTTACCCCAGTTCCTCTTGCTTTATTTTTCTCTGAGCACTTATCTATCTGCCTTTTGCAGAAATTTCATAGATCCACATATTTGAAAGACTCACAAGACTCCACTGAGCATACTCAAGGTTTTTATTTAAGGCAAAGGATATAGTAGAAGAAGAAAAAGAGTATAAGGAGACATTAGGATTAGTGTACCCTGGATTGAACACCAACATCTGTGTAGAATTTCCCAGGGGGTTTTTTACACCCCTCTGGTCACCGAATTAAGTAATGCTGTCTAACTGGTTACTTAGATTGAACACCATCAGTAAATAAACTGGCCTTGGGAATGCCAGAGCCTCCTCAGAAATAAAAACAGAGCTTTCCTAGTCTAGCTTTAAATTAACTGGATCCTACACGCCTTCTAAAATACAATATAACTTCTTATTTTGTTTACTGACTACCCTTCCCCTCTCCCCCCCCCCACACACTCAGATTGTAAGCATCATGAGGGCAGAATATTTTACTCTCTTGTTCATTGCTGTATTCTCAATTTCTACAATTGTACTTGGTATATAGTAGGTGCTTAGTAAATATGAGCTGAGTAAATTATTAAATGAATGGAGCTTCTCTCTCACTATATAACTATTATGAGACCCTGTTGAACCAATATAAAAGGAATCTCTAGTATCCTTCATGGTACCAAGACCATGGTCAATAAACAGCAAGTGTTCAGTAGACAATTATGGATAAAATGGATCTTCAGGGCCCACCCACTTCAGTTACCATTTCAGAAAGGCTCCGAAATGTCTGCAGCTAGATGCTCAAGAATGACTTGAGCAATGACATAAATAATTCAAACCTCTTAAGAGCAAGATTTTTAACTATCTTGCCTGAAGTATTACACCCCTAGGATATTAGAAGTTTTTCCTCTGCAGTCTGACAGACTGTTTTTCAGAGACATGGAACATTTTGGCAGCAGGTAATAAAATTTTGATTAGGGCCAATTTTTTTTTTTAAGAGTACATTTCTGAAATTTTAATGTAAGTCACTGGGAAAATTTGATTTCTCTAACCTTTTGTGAGGCAAAATGAAAATTTCCAAGTTGTGTATTGTAATGGAGAGCATCTCCTGTTAATCACTGAAAGTCCATTCTTTTATAATTCATGTAACAGGAATAAGCAACATGTTTGTTACTCTGTTATAACCCAGGTACGTCGTTTCAGAGAAAGCAGACAAAAAAATACTAATGAAGAAGATGATGAAGTTCGAGAGGTAAGTTTCTTGCTGTAAATTCCTATGCTTACATGTCAGTTTGTTAAATTAGAATAACTAGTAGGTGTGTTTAGAGTAGTCAGTCCATGAGACCTGGGTTTGGTGGATAAGACCGAGCAGGGGTGGCTGAGGACAGGTGCCTTCGACTTATTCCAGTTCAGCCTACAAATATTCTGCTTGTTGATACTCTTTTTTTTTTTTTTTCTCCTGTTGGCTCTTGTCTAAAATTTATTTAATTGTGTGTGTTTGGGGGTAAGGCTAGCGTATATAGCAAGAGCTGTTAATCAAAATAATACCTATTATCAGAGCATTTGTCAATAAAAGATATAACCTTACCCTACCGAGCTGGTATGATTTGGGGCGGAAGGGAAGAAGCTTGGTGTTTCGGTTAACAGTGTTATTGTAGCTGACTGTACACTCCCACTGGCCCCTCTGACGGGTTGAAATCACCTTGATCGCCATCATCGCTGTCTTCTCGGTCTCCGGAGTTTAGGAGCATGAGCGTAGCAACCGTTTGCTTCAGTTTGGGGCTTCTGCCTGGTACTTGATGAATTCATGATTGAAATATATTTTCCTATTTTCTTATTGTCCTTAGTGTTTTATGATTGCTATGTAGTATTTAAAGTTATTTTATAAATTATTGGTAGGATTTTGCTTTGATTGCTTTCATTCAGCTTAAGGAGATGGGACTCTCAGTTTACCTTTTTCCCCCTGAACTTTTCCAAAGGAAGCCCTGTTTTAGTAGCTGATATACTGATGACTATTAGGTAATACCACAGCCTTTAATAGTAAGCAGGTTCCGGTACTGACTGACATGGGAAAAATCAGTTGTCAATTAATTCTGTACCATCTCTATGGGCTGTGTGTGAGACAGACTTGAAGCTTTTTTTTCCTTTTAAAAATATCTGCCAAGACTAAATCTGATTTCCTTTACTTGCTTCACTTCTGATATTCCACACTTTTTATTTAGGACTTTACGCTGATCCAATAATACCACTTACCTGAAATTTTAAAGAATAGGAAACTAGTAGTTTTGGTATTGTGGGTTTATTCCCCTCTTATAAAAGTTTGGTGTTCTTTGACTTTCACACCCCCAAACTATGTCCTAGTTCATTAGAATTTGTAGAAATATGAACAGTGTAGTAAGTCAGTTAATAACTTTTCTCTAAAAAGAATATGCTAGGGTAATCAAAATGTCTTGTTGTAAGTTTCACAGATATCTTTCCCTTGTATTGCTTACACTATTCCATGGAGTAAGATATCTTTCCCTTTGTACTACTTAAACTATCTGTGGAGTAAGTTTTGCAGCATAAACTAACATCCCTAGCAGTAGGGCCAGTATTGGCTATAGTCTTTTTCCCACACAGTGCGTTTCATTAATAGCCTTCAGAAATTGATTACAAAACAAAAAGCTACCACCATCCACTAAATTTCACACTCAGCAGTCCCAATATCAAGTCATTCTCCCAAATAAAATGGGAAGAAACAGAACTGATAACATACTTGGCTTTTTTATTACTGTTTTCAAAGGAAAAAGGGAAGTGGTATTTATTGACTTTTTGCCACGTGCATTACTTGCACAATCTCAGTTTCCATTTTACAAATGAGAAGACTGAGACCAAACTTAAGGACACATGGTGGGGCTGGAATTTGAACCTGACAATTTCTACCCCCACATCTAGACTTTTCCACCATACTCTGTCCTATCAGAATTTTATATTACAGTAACATTAATATAACGCATGGCCAATGACTGGCTTAAAAGTTAAAATGGCTGAGACTATTATGCAGCACATGAAAATCACAGTTCATAGTAAGCACAGGTACAACTGTTGTACTGTTTACAAGATGAGTTTGGAAGCTAAGTGGAGGAGGCTATAGATTAGGAATCCCCTACCACACTTCTTTTATTTGTACTCATCTTACAGAGTGCCCTTGGAGTAGAAAAGAGAGTTTGCCAAGTGACAAGAATGAATGCACTACAAAGAAATGATTTCTGGTTCTTAGGTTATTTGACTTAAAATTTGATTAACCCCTTCAATTGAACAGATTGCAGAAATATGTTGTTACAATGGATCCTTTGTGTTTGAAGCCACTAACCTCAGTTTTTCATTAATCTTTTAAAGAATAAGAGTGAACAAACAACACATTCAGAAAGATCCCATCAACTCATTCCTGGGGAAATATTTGTACCACACGAGCCCTCCAGTAGACAGCCTGCTAATTCCCTCCCCTTCAGATTTTATTAATCATACCTTACAAAGGAGCGCTTTTTTTTTTTTTTTAATCCTCACTTGAGGATATATTTTTATTGATTTTGGAGAGAGGAAGGGTGAGAGACAGGGTGAGAAAAACATCCATCGGTTGCCTCCTGCATGCACCCCCACCAGAGATTGAACTGCAACCTAGGTATGTGCCCTGACCAGGAATCCAACCCACTACCTTTTGGTGTATGGGACAACACTAACCGTCCGAGCCACCTGGTGAGGGCAGGAGTTCCTAACTTTCTAACCTGGCCAGAAGTTGTATGCTCCAGGACATGGGAATTACCCTTGGAATGTGGTCCATTCTTTTATGAGAACTGCCTGTCATCATGGAAAGATTAACAACCTTGTTCTTGAAACAGTAGAATCCCGGATGCACCTGCCCTTTGCAACCCCCAGCCCACATTGCCTGATCTGGTACCCGATATGCCAGCCCTTTGTAAGCCCTTTGCGAGCGCTTAGTGAGCCCTTTGTTACCCTCAGCCCACCTTGCCTACTTCCCGGGGCCTGTAATTCCTACTTTTCCATGTAATCTTTGTCGTTCTACCTAATATAAGCAGCTGGCTTATGGGGGAGTGGCAGAGCAAATTTTTGTGGATGACCATTACTGCTCTCCCAATTTGCTGGCAATATTGGAATAAATGCTCATATATGATGATTCAACCCTGTCTCTGCTTAATTGGCTCAAGTGGTGACAGGCAGCCTGGATCCACTGTTGTCCAGTTTCTCTTTGTCAGTTTTCAGTACCATGTTCTGCTGGCTTTATAAAAAGAAGTTGGAAATTTTCTTTATGCTCTTGTACAATTGAAATAGCAGTGGAATTATCTGTTCTTTCATGATTTGGTAGAATTTACCTGTGAAATTTTTGGGTTGTTGTCCTTTCGGGAGTGTAGTTCTTAAACAATTTTCTGAAAATTTTCTTTGATAATTAGCCTATTGTGACTGTCTTTTCTTGGCTCAGTTTAGGTCATTTATTTTCTAAATTACTTAGAGTTGAGCAGAATTTTTCATCATGATTCTTTTAATTTTCCTTGGACCTTTTTTTCCTTCATTCTCATTTCTTTGCTTTAATTTAATAAGTTAACTCATTGTTTTTATTTGTTCTGATGTGCAGTTTTATTGACATTATTTTCTAGATATTATAGAATTTTAGTTTGCTTTGCAATTTGGAGTCAGGGGTTTTATTTTGCTATTGTTTTCTAGTTTTATTGCACAGTGATTAGACAGTATGATACTCTTTTTTACTATTTAAAACTTATTAATATTTTTAAGCACCCCATCACATATCAGTTAAAACATTTCATGGGGTTGTGAAAAGAAGTTATTTTCAGAGTATAGTTCAACGTCAATTAGATCTAGTTTATTAATTATGTAGTTAGGTCTCCTTTTTTTCTTTTAAATCTACTTTTTAAAAAAATGTATTTTTATTGATTTCAGAGAGAGAAAGGGAGAAGGAGAGAGAGATAGAAACATCAAGGATGAGTCATTGATTGGCTGCCTCCTGAACACCCCCTACTGGGGTTGAGCCCGAAACCCAAGCATATGTTGTGACTGGGAATTGAACTTTGATCTCCTGGATCACAGGTCGATGCTCAACTGCTGAGCCATGCCAGCCGGGCAAGTCTACTTTTTTTAAATTTACATACAGCTGGTTCTTATTACTTGTGGTAGTTATGTTATAGAAAGTCACTGTAAACAATAAATTGGTGAACACTGAACCATTGCTTTGAGGGGAAATACAGGATTAGGTTCCTGCCAGCCATAGGTTACAACATTTTCATCAACTGAACAGTATATAGCCCTTTTCATCTGTGTTTCTGTTTAAAGACACCATATTTAATATACATTCTTGATTTGTTAATATTGAACTCATGGCCAACAGTCTGGTAACTCAGACCTGAAAGAAGCTTATCTTAACCCGTGTATTTCCTCTGTAGAGCATGTTGCAGCCTTCTTGCACTTAGAAACACAGTATAGCACTTCAGCAGTCAGTACACTGCGGGGGAGCCTTTTTAAATATAAAATCAACCGAAACACTAAACTGTGAAAAATGTAACACTAAATATAGTACAAAGAGGATACATGTTTAAAGTACAAGAGCTGAAACCAGAGGGCTGACTGTCATTTGTTTGATCTCATCTGTGTATGTGTGTGTCAGACGACTTGGAATTTTTACCACTTTGCACATATCCATGAATGACCAAGAAAGTATCGGGAGTGTAGTTTTGGGGGTTACAAGTAAATTTTGGCAAGTAGGTGAATTTGCAGATTAAGAACCAAGAATGAAGATTGACTGACTGTACTTCATCCAGGACAAAAAAGATGAATTGAAATTTTTTTCTGCTATTTAAAAGTATTTTTTGTTGTATTTCCTAAAGTTTCTTTTTGTGTTGTGACACCATATTGAGCCCTTCGTGTAGTGATTTAGCTGTTATTTCACTTCAGCTAAAATCATCATCATGGACCTGGATTACTTCCCCCTCCCACCACCCACTTCTTTCCTATTTCTACCCTGCCTTTGTTTTCATCTCATTTAGCTCTGTCTCGCCTCATTTCATGGTATCACAGAGAGCTTGGAGATGCTCTTGCCACCTCTTCTTAGATCCAGAATTTATCATTCCAAGCAAAAAAAAACTGTTGTCATGGCCTCTTGATATATAGATCAATTTTGGAGAGTTCTACACTGCCTGACACTCTTCTCAACCTTCTCCCTTAACCAGGTCAAATATTCACTGTATTCCTTAACTCTTCATAGATTTTTGTGTTTGGGGGTTAGAGCTATTTTCTAATTTTACTGAAAATGTATTGTGTTTTATTTTTGTTCTCCTTATTAAATTTTGTTTCGATTAAAGGAGATCGGGGCAGCATTGCTTATACTCTGTTTTTAATAAGAAAATCTGTATTCATTTCAGAGTTGATCAGAACATTTTGTTAAGTCTGAAACTTGTTTTATCTAAAGTTTCTCTTTTTCTTTCTTAATCCCTTTACCTTTTTTACCCAACCCCCAATCTTCCTCCCCTCTGACAGCTGTCAATCTGTTGACAGTTTCTTAACAAATTAAAATATGTGGCATATTCTTGGTTTTTATTCTTTTTCCAGGCTTTCAATTGCTATATTTTATTTAATTCTTGTTATATATATTTATGAGATTATTGCTCATGTTTTTCTGATTGCAAAAGTAATATTTTAGAAAAAGTATATTGTAGAATATTTGCAATATTTAAGAATAAAGAAGAAAACCAAAGCATCTTAAAATTTCATCACCCAGAAATAACAGCTATTGTTTGTGATTTTTCTTCTTCTTGTTATTTATCGAGCGCATTGTGCAAAGTAGCTCAAATGGTGACAGCCTCTTACAAATGGTGGCGTTGAAGTCAGGGCGATTGCTAATGTTCTTCCCAGTTCTGAAAGTTTAGATTCTGTGAAATTTTATCTTTCTTGGGAAATCTTTCAAAAGGTCTCATTTTACAGATAGTATTGTAAGTTAATATGATCAATCATAGGTATTGGATTTGATTGATGGAGGAAGGAGGTTCTCATGTTTTACACTTGTGGAATAGTGAAAAATAATAGCATAGGCAGTTTTTTAATATTTAAATGTTCATCTGAAAGACCAGACTAATGACTTTGAGGATGCTGCATTATCTCTTAACGTGTGCTTTCTGCTTGTTACTCTCTTAGGCCATGACTAGAGCCAGAGCCCTCAGATCTCAGGCAGAGGACTCTGCTTCCGCCTTTAGTGCTGATGACCCTATGAGTGTAGATTTGTCAGAACAGACAGCTGATGACTCTGATGATAGCATCCCAGCAGCAGCCAACAAAGGAAGAGGCCGAGGAAGAGGCAGAAGAGGAGGAAGGGGGCAGAATTCAGTGTCAAGAGGAGGGTCTCAGAGAAGAAGAGGTGAGTACTGAGTACAGTACAGTCTTGTGCACACATTTAGACTTGGCCATTGAGTGGGAAATACAGAACTGTATTCCTGTTGTTAGAATTGAGTTACATGCTCTTCTAAAAATTTATTTTGATAATGTGTAAAGTCAGTCTTTAATGTATTTCTGACATGCACATTTTACTTAAATAAATTTTGAATGGCTATATGCAGAAAGGATTTTAATTGCTCTCAGTGTGTGTTGTTTTTTAAAGAGCACCATATATTTCACACAGTACCTTTGGGTACATTTAACTTCTTATTTTCTTTTACATGTGCAATAGTGAGGCAAATGCATGCTGTTGAGGAAAATGGCTAGCTAATGGCATTGTAGCAGGAAGAAAGCTCCAGATCATAAAAATTATTATTTTTGTTACTGTCATAAGATACAGATGCTCACATTCTTATATAGTAACTTCATAAAATTTGTTTGAAAAGAAAAACCACCCCAAAATACAATTTGATTTCTTAGAGCAATTATTAACATTAATTGCCATCGTTGTGTTTAATGTGACACTATTGCCACTGGATGGTCAAACAATAGAAAATAGTCATCCAGTGACCTCATGATGCATTATATAAACCCATCCCTAGGAATATTTAGAAATTATATTTATTACATATTTTTCATAGGAAAAATGGATGGTACTTTAGTTAAAAATATCCAGGGAGAGAAATCCTCATCTTCTAGTGATAAAATTATTATCATTTTCCGTACATTTTTTTAAAAGTATGTTTTTATTGATTTTAGAGAGAGGAGGAGAGAGAGAGAAACATTGATGTGAGAGAAAAACATGGATTGGCTGCCTCCTGCACGCCCCTAGTGAGGATCGAGCCTGTAACCCAGGCATGTACCCTGACCAGGAATTGAACCTGTGACCTCTTGGTTCATGAGTCGACACTCAACCACTGTACCACACTGGCTGGGCAATCATTTTCCTTATATTTAGAAAATTTTTCCTTAAATTTTAATTGAAATAGTATTAGCTAGATGTGGTAGAGGTATAGTCTGAAAACTGACTGATCAGACTCAATATTTCTTGTATATATCTTTGGCTTCTTACATGTAAACTGTTTTGATGTAACTTTATTTAGATTTTATTTTAGTGTTGTTTCAAAAACACCTTGGCTGCTGATGTAATTGTGTATTGACTGCTCATTATTCTGATAGCAGGCACTGGTCTGGAGACTTCTACTCAAAGCAGAAGTTCAAAGGCCACTATGTCAACATCTAGAAATATGTCTATTATGGATGGTGAGTATAGACTGCAAGTGATTATCCAGCAGTTGTTTTGTAAATTCCAACACAGGAAGACCTAGGAAACCCTGTTAGTAAGTCTCATTTGTTTGTTGCCATCACTGGGGAGTCAAAAGGATTTTTAGAATCACAGGATAAATTATGCTAATTTAAAAGATCTTCACCATTGATTGGAGATCTTGGAGAGGGTGAGCTTTAAAAAATAACTTTTATAATTCCTTACTTATAGACAAATTTGATTATTTCCCTTTTATAGAAGACTCACTAAGACATGGAAAAGGTATTGATCAGTATATCAACACTGGCCAAGAGAGAAGGAACTGCTTTTTTTTTGCTTTATTTTAATCCTCACCCTATGATATGTTTAGAGAGAGACAGAGACGGCAATGTGAGAGAAACATCAATTGGCTGCCTCCCACATGCACCCCAACTGGGGATCAAACCTGAAATCCAGGCATGTGTCCTGATCATGAATTGAACCCCCAATCTTTTTGGTATATGGGACGATGCTCCAACCAACTGAGCCACCAAGCCAGGGCGGAACTGCTTCTTAATGTATTGTTTACCTTCCTTCCTCATACTGCTTTTGTTTCCACTGTTAGTATAGAGAGTCATGTGAGCTGTTCTTAAGGGAAATTATGTTTAGGGTTCAAATTAATTTCAGGTCTGTGTTGTTCTAAAAATTGTCTTCAGACTAAGGGGACCTATTTTTATAAGCTATTTTAAATAAGAATTTAACATGAAAATTTAATAAACTGTTTTAAATAGTATGACTTATGAGGTCAGCTGAAGTTGTTAGATATATGAAAATATATGTTAAAATAAGTGGTGATATTTTTTCCTACCTAGTGTTCAGAGTATATCCATATATGTGTGTTTTATTTACATTATCTTCTTATTGGAGGTAACTTTTATAGGTAGAATTAATTTTTGACGATTAAAGAGTTGGACTAAATCTTAAAAGATGAAATTTACCAAGGGTAAATATAAGATGCATTTATATCAAGAGGTCAGATGCACAAAAAGAGTTCTGAGAGGTATGTGACATTAGCAACAACCCAAGTCAAAAAGACTTAGGTCAGGAAGAGCTGTGCAGGTTGACCTAACTGTCCAAATCTAATGGTGTCTTAAGTATTATTAATAGAAGTTGTACATCTCTACAGCAAAGAAGTACTCCCTCTGTACGGAATTGGATTCATCATGCCAAGAATACTGTGTTATCTTTGGAACTGTATTTCAAGAGGGATATCAGCTATATATAATCATTCAGAAGAGAAAGCATATAATGTAAATTTAAAAAAAAATGGTAGAAAGAACTTAGAATATCTGACCTGGGAAAAATTCAAGTCTTTATTTTATATAAATAAAGTTCTATCATGTGAAAGATCAAGTAGATTTGATTTGTATAGTTCCAAAGGTGGTGGTTTTAAATCTGTTCTGAGTTTTGGAGTCTTAAGATTCTGATGAAAGCTCTGTCTTCTTGCACTCATATGCAATTGCATTCAATTTCAAAGGGTTCGGGGACCCCCATGAAGTCCACCCATGGGTTCCAAATTGATAACTACCAGCCCAATGAGGATAGATGGGAAAAGCTAGAACAATTCAGATATTTAAGTTTATTATTGATATAATGAATCTGGAAGACTTAAGAACAACTTTGTCTACGCCCTCACTTCTAGATGGGGAATTGAGCTAAGCAATTTGCCCTGGGTTGATAAAACCACTGAAAGTACTAAGAATAGCTAATATTTATGAAACAGTTACTCCATGCTTCTCAAAAGCTCTGTGGCACAGGTACTTCAATTATCCCTGCTTTATAGGAAAGGGAACTGAGGCTTTGAAAAGATAGGCAACTTCCCAAGGTCTCATAACTAGTAAATTCTAGAGCTTAGATTGATCTCACGGTCTCTATACTCCACAGTCAGTAGTTAACCACTATACTAGTTTCCAGAGCACGATAAAATTGGACACCTAGCTACTGATTCTCAGTAGAGAAGTCTGCATTATACAGAATAACCTATCAATTAATGTAAAGGTGGAGGAAGCTGTCTCAGAAGGAGGTGAACTGTGACTCCATCAAAGGAAGTTTTCACCATTTATTGAAGGGAAACTGACATTAGAGAAAGGACATAAATATCAGATCCGTTAAAGGACTCTTAAGGAACCTTCCTATCAAAAATCCTGTTGCTGTATTTTTATTCAAGGATTATTCAGTACTTAAGGAGAGCCAGCTGAGATACCGGTCTTCTGACTTCAGAGGCATGTTGCCTTTGTTGCCATTTAGGAAATGGTGTCCAGAAAGGTACTGTTTTGTTCTTGGCAGGTTTAAGATGAAAGCAGAGAAGGAGAAAGAAAAGACAGCATGGTCAAATATCTAGGTTGAGTTCACCAGATCAAAGCTTTGTGACCTTGGACAGGTCACTCACTCTCCTGGTTTGTTTACATGTACATTGGGACTAATCATCCTGCCATATTGGATTGTTCTGAATAAAAGCAAAAAAATAAAAAATAGAAGCAGCAAAAAACCTGGCACTTGGTAGGCATTTATGAGATGTTAGTTATTGTTATTGTAAAAAGGAGAGAGAAAAAAAACCCCATGGAGTTAGAAAAGTAGAGCTAATGAAATATAATCCACCATAAGTTGGTTAGCATACAACACGTAGGCATAGGTGCTATAAATTACCCACCTTTACCTTAGCTCAAACTCCCTTTTTTCCTCATGGTTTTAATTGTTTTATGTGAAGCTTTTCTTGGCACCAGTGGGTAGAATTAATCACTTAAAGTGAGTTTTCAGGTTTCCATTAAGAAATTAGTTAAGCTTGTTGCCTTTTTTTTTAAAGTTTATTTTCCCTCCAGTTGGCTATCTTTGGTGTTCTGCAGTTTCATTATGATGAATCTAGATAAGGGATTCTTTTTTTATCCTACTTAGGATGTATTGGGTTTCATGAACTGTGAATTGCTGTCTTTCGTCATTTCTAGAAAATCCTTAACTGTTACCTCTGCGTTATTCTTTTTCTCAGTGTGTGACCTTTTCACTGTTCTCCCATGACTCTTAACTTCTCTGTATGTTCTGTTGTCTTATTTTCCTGTGCTACTTTCTGAGTAATTATTTCTGATCAGTCTTCCAATTCACTCATCTATTCTTAAAACTGCCTATTGGATTTTTCATTTTGGCGGGGAGAGGAAGTTGAAATTTTCTTTGGTTCTTTTTAAATGTGCTATGTTACTTTTAATAGTTGTTTAAACTCTCTGAAGATGTTTTTAAGCCTGTCTTAATTTTTTGTGTGTGCATAGTAATTCTGTGTCTGAAAACCCAGTTTCTGAATGTCTTTGGCCTCTTTCTATTCTCGGTTTCAGATTGCTGTTTCTCATTTACGGTGACTTCTTTCCTTGCATGCTTTGTTACCTGTGGTCCCAAAATAACTATCAGTAGGAATAATTTGAGATCTTGAGTGAAGATGTCTTCCTTCAGAGAAGATTCATACTTTTTTCGCTAGGCTCTAGGGGTACCACTGGTCTTAGACCACTTTAAATGTAAAATTATGACTTGAGGACCAGCCAGGGGATACATACTTATAAATCCTGTGTATCTGCTTAACCATTGGTGTCCCAGCTTATGGTAGGGAGCAAATGCATTAGGCTCCCCACCTGGGGCAGGCCTTGAACTCCGGTAGCTCTCTCCCTCTCCCTACAGAACAGTCAAAACCAGTGTTAACATTTGCCCAGTTCAGCGGTGTCCTCAGGGAAAAGGACTCTGGTCTAGTAGCCTCTCTGAATTCTGGCTTTTCTTCAGTTTTTGGCCTGATAATTCCTTACTATGTGATCAGCTCTTCAGTGCCATTAATATTTTTAAAAAAATCTTTAATGAAGTGATTTGGGTTGGTTTCAGCAGAAGTGTTTGAATAATTAGCCTACAATGCACAGTATAGAGGTGTTTTTTTTATATTGATTTCAGAGAGAGGAAGGGGAGGAGAGAGATAGAAACATCAGTGATGAGAGAGAATCATTGATCGGCTGTCTCCTGGATTGTCCCCTACTGGGGATCAAGCCTGCAACCCGGGCATGTGTCCTGACCGGGAATCAAACTGTGACCTCCAGGTCCATGGGTCAACCACTGAGTCACGCTGGCCAGGCTTTTATTATTACTCACCAATTTTACCCACCCCTGTATATTTTCTTATTGTAAAATCATAATATGACAGTTTTGGGCTTGGAAAAAATCAGTGGTTAACTAAGCTTCATGTTTCTAACCAAGTTTATAAAGTTAAAAAAGCAAGTATTCAAAGGGAAGTTTTATCATGGAATAAAAGATACGCTGTTTTCTAGAATTCCCCTCTAGACTATTTCTCTTTAAATATATGTACACACACACACACTTTATATATATATATATACACACACACACACACACACACATATATATGTTTTTATTGATTGTTAGAACAAGAAGAAGGAGAGGGGGAGAGAAACATTGATTGGCTGTTTCCTGAACAACCCCTACTGGGGATTGAGCCTGAAACCCAGGCATGTACCCTGACTAGGAATTGAACCAGGGACCTCTGGGTGCACAGAATAATGCTTGACCAACTGAACCACACTGGCCAGAGCTAGACTGTTTCTTTTAAGTCCTGAATATGGTTACCAAAGTAGAGAAGAGGAAGAAAGCTCTTACTGGAACCACAGCTCATAACAGCTACAGGGAAGGGTATTTGCCAACTATAAGAGAAGGGAGACATTAGGCCATCTACCGCTGATATATTGGAGTTCATTGTGTTAGGTGATCAGATTTTGCCCTTCAGGTATTTACCTATAAAATATTTTTATTGTAGGTATCATTTTAAGCTCGGCTCATTACTATATTTGAATAAGCCAAGAAATCACATGAAACTGGCAACTAGACATTGATTTATTTCAACATATAATTGCACCTCCCTTGAGATTTTAAAAAATTTAAATGGTTTTATAATTAGCCATCAGGGGTTTTTGCAGATATGACTTGGAAAATCTTCAGCTAAAAAAATGTGCAAATTTTTCCAAGTTATTTTAATGGATATTTCATCTTTTTCATTATAGCCTTTAAATCTACAAGACAGCAGCCCTCACGAAATGTTGCTACTAAGAATTATTCAGAGGTAAGAAAGAGAGTTTTATGGTTGTGTTTTAATAATTTATGTATTCTGAATTATGAATGGTCTATTCTTTGATAACAGAGTAAATAAAAAAAGAAAAAGGGTGGAACCTTAAAGCTAGAAAGGACTTTACTAATTATCTAGACAGGGCTTCTAGAATTTTTTTTGTTTTGTTTCTCTCTTTTTTAAAAATAATGGATTACAATTAGAAACCCATAAATGTATATATCTAGCAATTTTTTTTTTTTTAAATATATCTTTATTGATTTCAGAGAGAGGAATGGAGAGGGAGAGAGAGAGATAGAAACATCAATGATGAGAGAGTCATTGATCAAACCTGCAACCCGGGCATGTGCCTTGACCGGGAATCGAACCCCGATCGCCTGGATCCTAGGTTGACGCTCAACCGCTGAGCCATGCCCGGCCGGGCATATATGTAATAATATTTTTAAGGATAATAGTATTGAACCAAAAGAGCCGATGCATGGAATACAATATAGAAGGAAGTTCAGTACATACACAGTTTTTATTTATGCCTGGTTTCATTTTGCTGTGTATATTCTCATGACTCTGGCTTGTGTCTTAATAGTTCAAGAAACTAAAAGGGTTAAGTCTAAGGACTTCTGTGTTCAGCTCTAGATAGAACATGGGACTCTGCTCTTCCTTTGTATTCCAAGAAGTGTCCAGTATGGGCTCAACTCCCTGTCAAGAACCCATGTGTGTGTCTTCACTCCCAAGCCAGTACTCTTCCCTCTGTATCAGGGCTTCTCAGCAGTAGCACTATTGACATTTAAAAAAAAAATTATTGATTGATTTTAGAGAGAGAAGGGAGAGAGAGAAACATCTATTTGTTGTTCCACTTATTTATGCATTCATTGGTTGATTCCTGTATGTGCTCTGACTGGGGATTAAACCTGCAGCCTGGGCATATTGGGATGATGCTCTAACCAACACTATTGACATTTTGGACCCAGATAAGGCTTTGTTTTGAGGGTCTGTCCTGTGCATTGTAGGATGTTTAGCAACGTTTTGGCCTCTACCTATGAGATGCCAGTAGTACCACTCTATTTCTGTCAATCAGAACTGTCTCCTGACATTTCCAGTTGTTTCTGGGTTGGAAGTGGGGGTTAAAAATCACTGCCCGTTGAGAATCATTGCTCTGTATCATACTGCCTCTGCAGCTTTTTCTGAAATTTTTTTCTTTTTGATCTCTCAAGTACATGACACAATTAACTACCACCATTTGCAGAAAACTTCTTCTCTGTCCTTATTTTAATCTTGTTCTTTAGTCTTTCTTCATCTTTCTTTTTTTACCCTCTTTCTGTTACTCACTATATGTGGGTGTACCAGTGCTGGCTTTTAGCCTGAGCTTCAGTTCTTTCTTTTTAAATCAGCTACTGCCTTCTAATGCTTCAAGATCATATCTGAAAACAAAATTACCGTCATGTTTGCAAGGTGTCATCCCTTCTAGATTTTTCTATTGTCAGGCAAGAACATGAGTTCTAAAAGAACAAGTCATGCCAAATTAGCTTTTTTTTTCCTTCATTTTTTTTTATTGAGGTTACACAGATTAGGTGAATGTTTCATACACTCAATTCCTTCAAGGCACATAAGACAATCTTCTGATAGTTTTATGGACAAAATGAAGGAATATTGACTAGGTTCATAGCTGCTTGTACAATTGCATTTAATGACTTGATTAATAAATAGTTTAATATCAACCTGGAGGGGAAGGTTTCAGTATTTTCAGTATTTTGTGTTTGGCTTTATACTGTGTTTTCAGTATTTTGTCCTTGGATTTATCTTATATGAAGACATAGCAAATGTGTGTATTGTCAAGACAACATAAAATGTAGATGAATGGGTAGCATTTAGGATCTTAGAATCAAGAATCAGAAATATCTTTCCTGGGGCTTAAAACCAGCAAATGGTATTTAACAGGGATAAATGTAACAGAAAGATAGCTACCTGGTACTTCCCACCCAGTCTTACACCTCATTTAAAATTTGAGCTGGACACTGATGATCGAACTCATTAGAACCTAAGAAAGTCACAGGGCACTATCTGCACATGACCCTCTGTAAGTCATTCACTGGGCTGACTGCATGTTCCTTTAGGTACCCAGGCTTCCCTGGCTGCCAAGAGAGCAGCAAAGTCACGTATGTTGTGTAGAGGACTATTTGTGAATGAGGAGTGACACTGGAGGAGGCCGAGCTGAGCTTTAGTTTCAGTAGTTGGTCATTACATGATTTCTGTCTCCTTTATTGTGACTTTTTTTGTATATTCAAAAAAACCTTGAGATTCAGTTATTTAATTCATTTTTATTTAAATGCTCTATTCCTATTAGTTGTTTTGTTTTCTCCCCCTTAGGTGATTGAGGTGTCTGACTCAGATATGGAAGAAGATATGTTTCCCACCACTTCAAAAACAGACCAAAAGTAGGTGCAGTGACTTCCTGCAAAAAAACACCTGAAAAAGTTAAAAATTATTTAGAATTTTACTAATACATATTCTCTGCCACAGATGTTTAACAGATTTATTTTCAGCTAGTCAAGTATATAGAAATGTGAAAAAATAGACCCAAAGACTGTTTTCATAGAGTCAGTGCAGCATTATTACAAGTATTTTCATTGAGAATTTACATACCCTGTAATTTGTTTCTTTCTGTCTTTATTACCCATTGATTTTCTTGATGGAGTACTGTGTTCTCTCAAATGAACAGAAAATAGTTCTGTATTTTGTTAATACTTGATTTCAATTTCTCTTCACCATTATATTTTTATATACTGAGTTATAACAGGGTGCTATGCTAAACACCAAAGAGAGGATCACATTGAGTTTCTCTGCCTATTACTGTAAGGCTTGGCTTGGTTTACCATTTTCTTCTGTGTGTTAACATTTTAGGTGAAGACTACTTAACTAAAGCTCAGTTAATGAAAATTTTTACTTACAAAAATAATCAGCAGTTTTTTCTAACACTTATTTTCTGTGTGAGCATTATATTATGTCTAATGGGGGACATAATAAATGTTTTAATAAGCTTACTGCCTTCAGACAACGTAAATTATAGTGGAAAAGAGAGATGAACACATTTCAATCCACTAAGGGATGATTGAGCCAGCACATAATTACGCAAACTAGGTATGAGTGCATATAGGCTCTCAGCAAAAGGGCTCTCCCTTTTGCCGAGAGAAGTGTGGGCTCTCAGAGAAGAAAAAGCTTTTATAGAGGGAGTAAAATTTACCTGAGATTTTTTTTTTTTAAATATATCTTTGTTGATTTCAGAGAGAGGGAAGGAAAGGAAGAGAGAGATAGAAACATCAATGATGAGAGAGTCACTGATCAAGCCCACAACCCGGGCATGTGCCCTGACTGGGAATTGAACCCCGATCGCCTGGATCCTAGGTTGACGCTCAGCCGCTGAGCCACGCCCAGCCGGGCCTACCTGAGACTTTAAAGATAGGAATTACTTGGATTGGTGGGGTGGAGAATGACAGCTGAGAGTAATGACATGAGCAGGAGTTATAGAAATAAGGGGGATTGCCTGGCCGGGCGTAGCTCAATGGTTGAGCATCGGCCTAGGGTCTAGGAGATCAGGGTTCTCTTCCCAGTCAGGTCACATGCCCGGGTTGTGGACTCGATCAATGACTCTCTCATCATTAATGTTCCTATCTCTCTTTCTCTCCCTCTCCCTTCCTCTCTCTGAAATCAAAGATATATTTAAAAAAAAAGAAGGGGGAGATTGAAGGAAAAGCTCTACCCCAGTGTTTCTCAAACTTTTTTTCATGATCTTAACCTTTTTTTCATTAGCTAAGGATAAAAATTAAATTTGATTTAAATTAATTAAAATGACTTAAATTTAAGTTTAGAAATTAAATACGAAAGAGTGAAATTTTGTTGGATAGGATTGAGCTTGAGATGTCCAAAAACCATTGTAATATCTAAACTTTTTCACCTACTCCATTCCCGGGAATCAACTTTCGTTCTGTGGATGTGAAAATGTACGGTTTATGTGAATTAAGGGTCTGTGTTGGAAAAATTGGTAAATTTAGTTTCACGTCCACTTTTTATTCAGTTAAACGTTATGCTGGGAGCTAGGGATAGAAAGATGAAAGAAATGTGTCCTTCCAGGAATGTGCACTATGCTCATCACAGGGCCCTAATAGTCCACCAAGATGAATGTTTTATCCGAGTGTAATGAAATCTAAGGGAGTGCCGGCATCTTCCTAGGATAGATCATTGAAGGTTTTACGGAGAAGGTGGGTGACATTGAAGCTGTGCAAGAACCCTTGAAGGAGATCATCAGGGTGCAGCAGCAGAGTAATGTTGCAGGCCACAGACATCTGCTTTGAAAGGTGGTCGGGGAAAGCCTCTGCGGAGGTTACGTTTATGCTGAAATTTTACTAAGAGAGATGTAACCTTGCAAAAAGCAGAGGGAAGAGCATACACAGAGTCTCCTAAAGAAGGAACATTTAGGAGCCAGTGACTAAAGCCTGGCGGGAAATGGGGGGGTTGAGACAAGAATAGAAAAGAAGCAGGAGAACATCAGGCAGCAGGAACAGGTGAGCAGGATGAGGAACTGGACTTCATTGTAAGCGCAGCAGGAAGCGGGGCAAGGGTTTGGGAGAGGAGCGGCGCTGTCTGGTTACGCTGAGGAAGGAGGCAGGTGCAGGAGGAAAGGACTGTGAACAGGCTCACCTCCCTGAAAGGAGGGCCCCGTGGGCAGGCCAGGTGAGAGGGTGGAGGCTTGCGCCGGAGTGGTAGCCGGAAAAATGAGAAAATAGAGGGGTTCCGGATGCACTTTCAGGCAGACACGACCGGAGTTGGGGATGGGTTGAATATTTGGAGTGGGAGAAGGAGTCATGGTTGACCTCCAGTTTTCCTGCTTGAGTGAGGACTTTGATGGTGCTACACACTGAGAAAGACATAAATGAAGAGAAACATTTTTGTAGGGAGTCGTAGGCAGATCATCAAAAGTTCTACTTCAGACGTGGAAACATTGAGACGCTTGTGAAATTTACATGAAGGGAGATGATAAGTGGTTGGATATATGACTCCAGAACTCAGATAAGAGGTTTGAATGGTACCTGTGTTTACTTCTCAACAATTTGTAACGTGATACAGAAAGTCACTGGAATGGATTGATCACCTTGAAAGAGAAGGTAGAGAGAAGAGAGGGCTTGTCTTCTGATCCTGAGGTTTCAACCTTTAGAGCTTAGGTAAAGTAGAAGGGGCAACGAGAAAGACATGAGAAAAGCCCAGGAGAACGTAGAGTTGCCGAAGCTGATGCTGGCCTTTGTAGAAGGAGTGAAGCATACCAAGGTGGGCTCAGATGCAGGTCATTTTGTGTACTTGTGGTAGGTAGCTGAGGATAATTGAGTTCGTTAGCTCATACGAAGATGAATTTCTCAGGTTGAGTTACATGTACTAAACAGGACTGCTTTGGCTCCAGATGGAAACCTAACTTAAACTCGCTTAGGGAAAAGGAGATTTATTGGAAGAATATCAGCATATCTCAGCCTGTCGAAGGAAGAGAGTTTCTAAGTATTTACTTGGTAGTCCTTGTCTTTGTAAATTAAAATACACACAAATCAGATCTAGCTCTCTGTGTTTTTTTTTTAAGTAAATATAGTTGAGAAGAATATAGTTCAGCTTGTATGGGGTTCTTATTTTTTATTACTGGAACTAATGAAAATACTGTTTTAGTATGTTTGACATATATTGAAGGGTGTTAAAGAAAATATATCTTAATTTGCTAGCATTTTGGGTTATCTCCTTTTCAGTAGAATAAATGTCTGTTCACTTCCTGTTTATTCATGAGGTAGTAATAATAATAACTGAGTTATTTAGCACTTCCTATGTGTCAGGCACTGTTCTGAGCCTTCAGCCTTTACCTGTGGATTAGCCTGTTTGGTGCTTACAACCACACCGGGAGGTAGATATAGCTACAACTATATTACCCTATTTGACCTTTGGAGACAGTGGGAAGGGTAGGCTAAGTTACTTACCTAAGGTCACCCAACCACATAGTCAGGCTGTCTGCTCCAAAACTTGTCTCTGCTGTTGCTTCTTAACAGATTGAGCTCTCGGATCACTGTGCAAGCAATAAGGATCATTGAAATGATGAGAGGCCATTTGTTTGTTTATTCATTTTAATCCTCACCCAAGGATATTTTTTCCATTGCTTTTCAGAGAGTGGAAGGGGAGAGAGAGAGAAACATCAGTGTGAGAGAGACTCATCGATTGGTTGCTTCCCATACTTGCCCCAGCAGGGGCTGGGGATTGAGCCTACAACTGAGGTGCATGCCCTTGGCCAGAACCAAACCCGGGACCCTTCAGTCCTAACCACTGAGCCAAACTGGCTAGGGCAAGAGGCAGTTTAGACATTAGCATTCTGGCAAGAAATCTAAGCACAGCCTTGGAGATTTTGTGTGTCTGATGACAGCAACTGAGTGACACAAATTTAGGCTATTTTTGAAGAATTAATTAGTAATGGCATGGTTTGTATGGTTATTTCATTTATAATTTAAAATATTTAAACTCTGTCACTTACTTGGTTGGACCTGTGCAAGGTTTTGACTTCTTTATGCCTCAGTATCCTTCATTATAAAATAAAGATAATATTTACCTCATGGGGTTGTTATGAGGCTTAAATGAGTTGATACTTGTAAAGTACTAAGTACAGGACCTGGCACATAGTAACAGTTGTATAAGTGCTTATTAAATAAATAACTGGCTAGGGAAATAGAACAAGGTGATGGGAAGAACGGTAAGCAGTAACTGCACTAATGTTGCTGGCAGCTAAGTTTACAAAGGAAATAACTTCCAGCTGTAAAATTCTCTTCTGCCAGACGGGCAATGGAAAGCCTGTTTTTCCCTGGGAAAATTGTTCCAAACTCTACCATTGTTGTACTAGGACTAAGAGGACCCTTTCAGATTTGATACTGGCAGATATTGACCACCCTCTCCTTAAAGCAGCTAGTGAGAGAAGACCCAGCTCCATCTGGCCAGGAGGAGCAGGAGAGATTGAGGGGATCCTATTAAACCTTGCAGTGGGGGGAACTAACATTTTTGGCCTAAGGCCAGTTCAACATGTGATCTTATGCTTATAGCATGGCTACACCTGACTTACTGGCTGAACATCTCTAGACAGGAATTCTAATTTATGGCTCCATATTATATCTGAACAAAAATGGAGAAAACTTACACTCCTGCCTCTCAATTTGGTACACCCTGTCCCTTTATTTTTTGAGCCACACGTGAGGCTAATCAAATCAAACACTATTTGACATCCTGGACAAAAGCCCATTTATTCAAGCCTGCAATCAAAGCAGTATAACTTTCTTTCCCTTCTCACCGTTCGTTTCTGGGGATAGGGGATCTGCCATAGATGAGGTCTCCAGGTCTGTGGGGTCCTCTGATGCAGAATTAGGGCTCTTGCTATGATCAAATAAGCCAGCATTCATCATAGGTGCCTGGCTTGTTTCTAGGCTCCGTTGACAATTTATCTGGGGAGAAATCAGATAGCAGAGTCAGGTCTCAATGGGTGTTTCTTTCCATAACACTCTGCCTTTGCCCAAACCTCCAACAGGAACTGGTCATCTGGGCACTGTGTTTTTATGCTTTATGATGATCTGCTTCTCCCTGGTACAGATAGGAACAAGTCAACAATTAACTGTTTCCTGCTTAGGTCAAGTACCGAGGTAGAGACTCCCAGGTGGATAAACTCTGTGATCCTCTACCTCTGAATCTAATGTGTCTATAGGAACCTGTGGGTGTTTCTGCTTCCTTCTGATGTAGGACCTCTTGATTCTCAACCTATTTGTCCAGACAAGACCTTCAGACTTATTTATTTTAGTTAATAAATATGTTAGCTAAGAACTCACAAACACTGTTTTCATTTAAGACAGGAGTCAGCAAACTTTTTCTTAAAGGGCCGGATGATAAATATTTTAGGCTTTGCAGACCAAGAGGCAAAAATGGAGGATATTATGTAGGTACTTATATAACCATTTTATCTATTTATCTATCTATCTGTCTATTCATTCATTGTTCAAAATATTACAGATGGTCCCTTTTTTCCCCATTGACCCCTTCCACCCCACCGCTAAACCCCCTCCCCAGGCCCTCACCACACCATTCATTGCCTATGTCCTTGGGTCATGCATATATTCGTATAAATTCTTTGGTTAATTTCTCCCCCCCCCTTCCCTCTGAGATTGGTCAGTCTGATCAATGCTTCCATGTCTCTGAATATATTCTGCTCATCAGTTTATTAAGTTCTTTAGGTTCCACATATAAGTGAGCTCCTATGATGTTTGTCTTTCTATATAACCATTTTAAATGTAACCATTTCAGAATGTGAACATTCCTAGCTCACAGGCACTTAAACAGGTGGGCTGGATTTGGCCCATTAGCCATAGTTTGCTAGCCCCTGAGCTAAGATGACTTAAATGTTTTTTAAATAAAACGACATAGGAATATGAATTTACTACCACAAGTTAAGCTTCATAAGGGTAAGAGTCATGATTTTCTTGTTCACTGATATTCCCAGGAGCAAGCACTCAGTAAATATTTGCTGTTTGGCTTGGATTGAACGTGAAGAATATAAACAGGCAACCCTAGAAAGTGGTGAGCCTTTCCTAAGACCCTTTTATCTGTTACAGAAACATAACTGAGATTTGAAGGAAAAAATATTTCAGTGTTGCCACAATTTGCAAGAGTGAGGGATGGTAGTAGACACTATAATAAAAAAAGTAAGCATCTGTGTAGTGCTTAATATGTGTCAGGCACTGATCTAAGTGTTTAAGTATATTAACACATTTCATCTTGAAAAAATTATCCTCATTTTACAGTTGAGAAAATTGAGGCCCAGTAAATGGCAGAACTGGAATTCAGACCCTGACCTCAGAGTTTATTTCCTCACCATTAAGTTTTCACTGCCTCTAATGTAGATTGAAGGGAATGTATTAGTTATTTTTATTCATGGCTACTACTAGATTGAAAAACTGAGTTAGAAGGGCACCTTTGCTGAATTCTCTGGTTCACTTTCTTTGTTTTTCCCATGTTTTTGCCTCAGGTGGTTGAACACATCATCATCAAGCAAATGTACGTCCCAGAGCCAAACAGCTAAAGGGGTCGATTTTGAATCAGATGAGGTAATAGAGTAATATTATTAAATCTTAATTTTTAACTGCTTGTAAAATTTAAACAGGGACTGCTAAGTTAGTCACTGGAAATTATTTTTAAAAATAATTTCATTGATAACTTTTCTTTGAAGTGTAGTTAGTAGTTGAGTCAGTAAGTAGCCTCTGTTGCATGCTCATCAGTGTAAATACCTCAGATGTAAAAGGCCTGCAGATTTTTAAAATATTATACTAACTCAACTCTGTTTCATGTGCCCTGTTAACAATAGGATCAGAATAGTTTTTTTGGCTTCTATCATTTATATTTAGAGAAATGGTGGCGATGATATCCTGAAAGCTCTTAAAGTTACTTTAATAGAATATTTATTAAGTACCCACTGTATGCTGCTAACATTTCGTATATGTGGTGGTACATGGTGGTGAGTGTCTTGTCACAGAGGTGTTCAAATACTGACTGAAGTGCCATATGGCAGGATGTAATGGAAGAAACTCCGGTTCAAGACGGTTATCTGGACCAGAAAAGTGTAATAAAGGAGAAGGAATAGGAAGAGGCATAGTCAGGACTTCCTCTTGCCTCTACTCACTCATTTCTGCGGAGGTGAATTAAAGCTGCGTGACAGAAGGCTGCGGGCCTTTCCCTTTTCTCCATGGCTGCCATTTGAATGGCCTTTGCTAGTTTTTGTTGAATTATTTGAAGGTGCTTCTCTTAAGCCTTCCACCTCTTTCATTTATTTATTTTTATTAGAATTTTTAAAAATTGTGGTTAAAACACTTGACATAAAGCATTACCATCTTATCCATTTTTTAAGAGTACAGTTCACTAGCGTTAAGTGTATTCATATTGCTGTGCAACGGCTCTCCAGAACTTTTTCATGTTCCAAAACTAAACATCTCTGCCCATTGAACAACTCCCCGTTTCCCCTCCCCCAGCCATGACAACCAGCATTCTACTTTCTGTCTCTATGAATTTGACTACTTTAGGTAGATACTTTTCGTAAGTGGAATCATACGGTATTTGTCTTTTTTGTGACTGGCTTATTTGGGCATTTGCCTCCAGGAGGAAAGTGAGAGGTTGCTGACTGGTTTGTTAATTTCAAAGCATCTAGAAGTACCTGTGGTTAAAAATGTATATAGTTCATGTTAACTGCAAAGAATTGTTATCAAATACTCTATGAAACTTCAATTTGAATTAATCTCTGGTTTATTAACAAGTTCTACCTTTGATAGTAGTAGAAAATGAATCAATAAATGAAAGTGAATTTTTATTTCTCAAGGCATCCATTTCTCACCAGTGATAGCTAACTTAGCTAACATTTGAATATGTTAATACCACCAAGAGAGCCTAACATCAGATAATTATCCCATTTTATTAATGTCTTAAAAGAACAAATTAAAAAATTGTGAAAAATACGCCTTTTCTTCTGAATATTTAGTTGTAGAGTAATAAGAATCAATTTAATGTTATGCTTATCAAATTATGTAGCTGGTCTTACCTGCAGTTCGTTAGTTTTCATTCTCTGATTAAAGTCTTAGTTAGTCTCTGATATTCCTGTTTGTTCTTATGAGACATATAATCTACAGCCCAGCAGCGTGGGAACTCTGTGGAAGTGAAATACTCTTTCTTCTTCCAAAAAAATACTTGAAAGATTGCTTTGCTAGGCTTTTTTCCTGCATCGGTCCGAGAGTATCTATTTCTAGCACTAAAGGAATAATGAGAAATAAGAATTACAGTTATTTCTGAGTTAGGTGATGTGGCCTCATTATTTTTTTTGGTTGAGTTTTCAGGACGTCGGCTGCTTTAATAATGAAATATTACTGAAAAATACCTATTCAAAAATCAAACAGAAATGACTTGAAGAGTATGTCTTTTTCTGGCTTACTCACACCTTGTTAGCCTTTATTAAGGTCAATAGCTACGAGAAATGTCTGGTCAATATACATACATATACGAGGATATATTTTTATTCTTAATGCTTGCTAAGAATTTAATTGGATTTATTTATTTCAGCAGTGAAGTAGCTAGTAAGGAAGGGAGGAAGAAAAAACATAAATTGATAAACTTTGTATTTCTAAAGGAAGTAGAAAAATGAAAGTCTGCTTCATGTGATGCAAAAGCAGAAAATTACTCTTGCTGGTATTGTTTTGCTCATAAGAACTTCTATCTTGTCTCAGTGGAGTGTGGAACCATCACTAAAATAACATTTGTATGTCTTTTCAGGATGACGATGATCCTTTTTTGAACATTAGTTCTTCAAGAAGAAACAGAAGATAATATATTTAATGCTACTTTGAAGTTTTCCATATTCAGGAAAAATCAAAACATTGCAAGCTAAGAGTTTACAGTGGAAGATTTTTAAAGTATCGCTGTTAACAGAATTCGAAAGAGACATACTTAACAGAGAAACTCATGTGCGAGAATTTCAATTGTTGAGTGTCATTTCCTGAACATGGCTCCCATTACTTGAGAAACTTCCCAACTCAAGGACATATAAAATAGCCTCGGCTGCCCTCATTTTAAATCTGGTTGTTAACGTTACTTGGGGGTGCTCTATAAAATTTAGACTGTTACTTTCCTGACATATATTAGTGTATGTCTTCCTGAGACCTTTGCTTAAATATTAATCTGGAATAAGGGTTAAAATAAATATGCCGTTATACGTTTCTGCTTCACAGTCAAAGACTACGTCAGTATTTTAATGCAGTTATATTTAGCCACAGCTGAGAAAAAGAGTCTATAAAATTTTACCTCTTTATAATTGTAATAATTTCTAGAGATTCTCGATTTGCTGAAGGTAAAAGAATCTGTGTGAAACTGTGCCTGAGCTGGTTTGTTACTGAGTATGTGTTCTTCTAATGCTTGTGATAATATTAGCCACAGAGACTTTGAATGATTAAGATGCACCTTATATTTTGAGTAGATAGAATTTTGTATTAAAAAAAGCGAACAATCAGCCGAATTGACTTTTTATTTCACTTGTAGCAAACATTTTAGAAGATTATGTTCCCATCGAGTGGTAGTAATTTTTTCCATTATCCTCCATTCTTTATGGTTCTGTCTCTTTCTGTGTCCCTCTCATCTGTTTCTGGGAGGAAATAAAGCTCTGTTACAAGGCCCCTCAGAGGATTCCTACTTTTCATCTGAGAGGCAGCTACATTTAAAGAGTCCTCGTGGAAGTTGTAGATCCTGGCAGTACAGCAGCCTGACATTTCTTCCCGCGCAGAAGCAGACGCTTCCTGAGCAGCATCCGTGTTCATTGGCATAGTCAGACCTGGGATGTGGCAGATTGTAAAAGAGCATTTGCATTTGGCTGCCTTTCTGTCATGCCTCCGAAATGACTAAATCAGGAATCGGGGTGTAACATTCTAATGAGTGTCTTTAAAAGTATTTTCTATACCTAACTTGAGCACGAGGATCTTAGCGGGCAGCATTAAGTCAGCGGAAGGCATTGTCCTTGTGAAATACTCTCCGGCACCTCTGCCACACCTTCAGTATCCCCAGTATCGAGTGAAGCTGAGGTGCAGTGGGAATGGGAGCTGGTTTGGGCGGTGCAGACCCCGCACAGGGCGGCAGCGGCTACTGGCTCCCCTCACCTGCCCCTGACACGTGCTCGGGTGAGGGTCACAGTGAGGGAGGCCACTGCAGCGTCCTGCGGGGTTCCTGAGGGGGAAGAAGGCGGCTTCCTCCCTGCCTAAAAACTTGTTCTATGGTATGAAAGAGGCACTACGTGCGGTGCAGGTGGCTTCGAGGAAAGTGATTCCGCAGCTGAGAGGTGAAATTCCCTGGAACTGGTCACTAGTTAGTGTGTCACTTTCTGGAAATAAGGTAAATAAAACATGAAAGAAAAACTTATGATTGAATGTTGTTGCATAGTTAACTATGCCGTTCATCCTTGATGTGCTGTATCGATCGATGCAGTACAGCCGAGGGGCTTGGGACTGGTTTCAGACGTGTTAGCCCAGGTGAGCGGGGCTGCTTCCAGGACTGGGGGGCACATGCAGTCCCTCGGAGGCCGAGAGCAGTGATGAAGACGTCCTGAGGGGAAACCCTTCCATCGTTTACCAGAGGGCACATCTCCTTCTTGGGGTTTTATTCCGCATAAAAAATACAATGGTGTGTTTACAGGTTACGGATGCATTGTTGTTTTAGGAAATAGGTGCTTAGAAAATTCAAGCGTGTAGACATGTAACTTTTAATCCAGGTACATATACATTTTCTAAACTTTTAAAATTGCAAAATATAATAAGTGACATAGTTTAACAAGTAATCATAAAGTAAGCACTCATGGCTTCTCTACAGCTCAGGAAATAGGCCATCACTGTGTCTGGAAGCCCGCTGAGTGAGTCCCCTCTGAGTAAGCGCCTTGACTTCTGTAATTCAGAAGCTCTTACTTTTGCCACAAGGTGGTGCTTCCACCCTTAGATGGCAGATAGGATGATACAACTGCAAATCTAAAGAAGTTAGTGTAGTTTTGCAATAAATTTGGAACCTATGCAATAATACTCTCCCTATGCCGTAATACTGAAACTAGCCTAATCTATGAACTATGCTTTACCTATTTCACCTGGCTCAGCCTGTTACTGAGGGAATTGCCAGTCTGATAAATTTTACATATAAAATAGGTTCAAGAAGAAAATGTTTTTTGTTTTAATAAAGAGAAACACCCGTTATTTGAAAAGTTGAATTAAAAAGTCACCCATTGTAAAAATTTTTCTGGTGAAATGTACTATATTTAAAAATATCTTTCCCCCAGTGTAATCTGATGTCTTTTTTTGTATCTATCATATATTTAACCCATAATATTTTGTGGTATTTTTAAAGATAACTACCATTAAGATTATTATAAAAGTTTTATAGAATAAAGATTTGTCTTTTTTGAATCCAAAGAGCTTCCATGAATTTTTCTTGAATGAAAAATGTTCACATTTCATCATTTGCTTATCTCATTCCCTTTTAATGTTTTTGAACTTCATGTTTATTAGATAGATCTGAAAATACTAGAATTGTAGTTTGATCCCTGAGAGCCAGTTCACCTAGCTTGCTATTGCCACACATATTTGTGTATCTTTACCAAGACCGGTCACTAAATCTGGTTTTAGTTGCTTTTAAATTCTATGGGCAATACAGAGTCTTCAGAATTCAGACATTGAAATATGCATCAAAACATGGATCTTTCCCTGTAATCCTCTCCCCAGACATAACCTCTCAACAGTTAGGTTCATAGTTCTCCAATTACTTTCGGCATGACAATTAACAAAAATTGTTGAATTAGAACCCCAAATTGTATAGTCAAATATTTTAGTCCCCATATCAAGGTATATATATATATATATATGTTCACCTTGGTGTTTATCTTGACTCTCATTTTCCACATCTGCTTTTAATTGCACAGTCATTGTCTGTTTTGAGGGGTAATTGCACTGCTTTCCAATATGTAATTTCAATGTCATCACACAGTTTGGGTTATTGAATATTTAATCTGTGTGCCTTGACGTCAGAAGTAGTAAAGTGATTTTCAAAGGGTAGCCATTGATTGCACATAATAGTTGATTAGCTGAAACAAATGCAGTGGATATTAGGCTGGTTGGCCCCAGTCCCAGTCTTCTGCTTCTTAGAGCCACTGTGCTGTCTCGATGATTCATGTGCAGATGCCCAACAGGAGTGAAGTACCCTTGTCGCACAGTGGCCTGCTTAGTTTCAAGAGTTTTGTTTATGATATTTAAAAATCTGCATTTTCTCCACTATAAGCTGATACATGTAACTCTAGTCTACCTAGTAATGCATTAGAACTGATTGTGGGGTGTGTTTGGACCTAGACCAAATTGCTAGAGGCAAAAAGCCATTGCGTAATAGAATGAGAGGCTCAATTGCATTTCTGTTGGTCCTGTGATAGTCTAGAAATGGGGCTCATGAGATGAAGGCATCTGTTTGACATTCAGTAGAGTGTCTTACCACAAATACTGAAATCAGCCAGCCCATCTACCCATCTATCACAGACATAGCTGAAGGCCCCTGGGGTTTATCATCCCTATTTTCCAAGTTCTAAAGTAGTGCTTTAAAACAAGACTCTGTTTTTTAAACTTTTAATTTTGAAATCATTGAATTTATGGAGAATTTGCAAGAAGGGAAGTGTTTACGTTTACTGGAATTCACCAATTTTTAACATTTTGTCATTTTAAAAATTCTGTGTGTGGATATGTTACATATCCATATACACACACATTTTTTTCACTCTTCTGAGAGTAGGTTGCAAAGAACAATTAATGCTCTTTTACTCCTTGATATGTCAGCATATGTTCCCTAGGAACAAGGATATTCTCTTATATAACACCAGTACAGTTACCAATTTCAGAAAATTTCACACTGATTTACTACTTTAATCTACAGTCCATATTCCAATTTTTTTTCCAGTTGTCCCAGTATTCTCCTTACACAGCATGTTTTCCCTTCTAGTCTAGGATTTAATTTTATTTTTTTGAATATGTAGAACATTAACATACTTCCAGAAATCGGATGCAGCAAAACCATTGAAAATGTGTGCTCAAATCTTCCTCCCTCCTCTATGGTTTTCACCCCCGTCCGCTCCACTGCTCTGTCTTCACAGGTTTAACTACAGAGGCTGTGCAGTGTGTTTTAATGTCTGGTAGGGCTAATCACCCCTCGTAATTTCTCATTTTCAATGTTTTCCTTGCTGTTCTTTTATGTTTACTTTTCCAAATGAACTTTAGTATCAGTTCCTAGCTCCAGCAACAACAAAGCTTTTTGGTATTTTTATTGGGATTGCATTAAATGTATAAATTCGCAAGAACTGACATAAGGATGCCCTGTCCAAGAACAAAGGATGTCCTGACGTTTGTTCGAGTCTTCTGTGTTTCGGAAATGTTTTAATGTGTTCTTCACAGAGGTTTTGAACACTTTTGGAATTTAATCATACTTTGTCTTTTATGTTCCTACTGTGATTAGAATGTTTCTCTTCCATTATATCTGAACTGGTTATTATTTTTACATATGAAAGCTATTCTTGCGCATTCATTTTATATCCTAACTTATTGAACTCTATTGTCTAAATGTCTTGTATCTTTGACGCTCTAGGATTGTCTAGGTACAATCTCATGTTTCCACCAGTAGAAATGTTTTCACTTCTTTTCAATTCTTATGTCTTTAATTCAGAATTTTAATGGAGTCCAGTTTAGCAATGATTAATGGTTAATGTTTTGTGTTCTGTTTGAGAAAATTGTTTTCTATCCTTAGATCATAAAGAAAGGTGATAGGAGGGGGGTTGGCAGGCAGGGTGAACCCAGGAGAAAGGCTTTCCTTTGGAGAGAAATATTTTCAGAGGGCTACAGGGATTCATATTAAACAATGGGTGGTCAATATGGGTGACCCGTTGACCAAGGACTTGAGAATATTGAAAATGTAAATGGCTTCCAATTGGTTTAGATAAAATCTATGAGATGATGGACTGAGAGTGGGTGTCAGCTGGGATTCTCAGGATTAATTTAGTATGTGTAATGTGTCCAGCAAACAAAAAATCTATTTAATAGTGATTTCCCACAGGAAGTGTTTCTATGTTTTGTTTTTCCCCCAAATCACATTTACTATTTTTTTCCTGATTATAAAAAAAATTCTAGGAAGTTCAAAAAATATTAAACAGCATAAAGAAAAAAATATATAAGTAATATGTAATATATATATACATATATATGAATATAGCTATTTTGTTTCTTTAAGATAAATTATTACATGTGAACTTTCTGGACATAGAGTGTGGTCATACTTAAAGACTTGGTAAAAATTGACAAATTGCCTTGTTCTATGGCCAAAGGACATGAATTAAAAAATGACAGACTGGAAACGCAAACAGCTAATAAGCCAAAGACTTTATTAGCAATTAAATTAAACTGAAATAACATACTGTTTTTAACTATCAAAATAGAATTCTTTCATTCATTC